TGCCACAGACGGAATAGTGTATCTTGTAGTTAAATAGCCATATGTATATAATTTTAGTTAAGTAAGGTACTGATAGGGCTACAGAAGTGAAGTAACAGCATTTGTACATCGAGTTTTTAACACCTGTTTTCAGATATGCCCCCTCATTGTCAGTAAACCAGGATCTAGAGTGAAAACTTGGTATGCTATCAGCATGTTATTTGCACTTCTCTGCTGAAAAAAGTACATTCAGATGTTGAACTGGATACAATCTGTTTTGCATGGAATTTGATGAATGATTTAATGTCCCAAAGAACACACACCTATAGCTGACACATATGAACTTAGTTCCTGGCAGTAACAGGGTAGGAACACCTACTGCCAGGAAATTACTGACTTGCCATCCTGCTTTTATTCTGCAAATCCTTATCAAGATAGTGTATCCAAAGCCATGCTTGGTTTTGACCCCCCGCTGCTAATTTCTGTGCATTTGTTTTCAAAGCTTCCTAATTCTTACCAGGTGGCAAGTATAAATCCCATCCAAGTAATGAGCTTGCTTGTTTCTGTGTACAGAGCACTGATTGAGATCTTCCTCACAAATATCTATAGACACAACTTGTGACCTGAGCCTGCTGTGATTACCTACAGGCTTCAAAGAATCTAGTTGAGAAGGAGAAATCAAAAGTAAGAGATTCCAGTGGGGAATATAAGTGCTTACAAAGTGCCATGTTCGTATGAACAATTCCCATTTACCCGTAAGAATACAGTACTCTGAAAAGACATTGTGTGCCCTGTGCAGGTTGGATAACACACATTTAGTGTGCAGTCATACTCAAATAACTGTGTCGTTTTGAACACAGGTATGCATATGCTTGCTACCCCTGCATGATGCAAATACATGAGATATTGAGCCTTGAAGTGTCCCTGTTCTGCTCACAGTGCACCTAGAGCCCTCCTTCTGCTTTAGTGCAGAGTCAATTTATGGAGAAGAGGAAGGCCAGCAAGAGCATTGCTTCCTTCCCCCAGTGGAGTGAGGATCTACGGTCTGAAATCCAAAGAGGTGCAACTCCCGTTTTGTTGCTGTCTGAAATCTGAGCTCCTTTCTTTTGCTGAATAAGCAGCATTGCACTGAAAACTAGAGAAGCACAAATCCCATTACATAGCACCCTGAGGCTGGGCTTCACGTTACAGATGTAACATGCTCCTCTGCTTGTTCAGAGAAGCTGGGGAGTGCATGGGGGGGAAGGGATCAGTAAGCATTGTGAAAGAACCTCTGTGAAGATGAAAGTCTTAACAACCATTTCCCTCAGGAAGCAAAAGATGAAATATTCTATACTACTTGCTAATTACAAATTCAAACTGTTGCCTTATGAAAGAGAGGCTTACTTTTATCTTTAAACTCTGAAGTTTTAAAGACTTACTCCAAAACATACTGTTAGGGATTTCTCCCTCTTGGAAAATCCCTAACAAGACACTTCTGTGGAGAAGGGGTGGGTGTACCCTACTCATTTCAAAGCCTAGGCACTGTGTGGGCTGGCAGCTTGTGAAGGAAGCCCCAGCACCTTTAAAGCCCTCGACCTCCAAGAGTCATGGTGGTTAGGTTTGGCAACAGCAACAGGCTGCCAAACTTACTCTCTGAGGTCTACTGAAGGGCTCAAGAGCATTCTCCACAGGGAACACAGATGGTGAGAGCTTCAGCATGCTTTACGTTGAGGGAGTCAGAGCTGAAATGCAGTTACTACCACAGGAAATGAATTCAAATTAAACACTGCAAACAAAACAGTGGGGAAGACTGAGCTGTCAGCTTTAGTGGCAGACAATCCCATGGCTGGGATTGAAGCCCAGTGATCTGTTACACAGTTCCTACCTGCAATGAGTTAGTTCTGAGTTTATCAGAAGGCCAGTATCATCTCTCAGTGATGAAGAAGAAAGAGGAGGACTATATTAAGTACTAGAAAGAATTTTCTCCTTCAAATAAATTTAATCTGTTGCATGCAACACTACTGTTCAGAGGGTTAGCAATATTTCTCACCAACAATACACGAGAAAATGCATTACAAAGTAAATGGATAAGCAACCCAAGAAACTATCGATGTAATTTCCATTATGCTTTGGAATCAGAAGAAAATGTATTATACTTTTAAACATCAGGTATCCATTTTTAGAAGGAATACATATTGTGTATTAACAATAACTTGAGCTCATAGAAGTGCTTATCCACATGCTTATTTACACACATCATAAACAAAAATCTGACAAAAAAGTATCTTCTAATGTTTCCATGGCACATTATTCTGTATTTTAATCACATTGATTGCATTATGACTTTATGTCTAATTTATCTTTAATGTTAGCAAAATGTTAACAGAAATTGCTCAAAATCTTTGAGAATTTTCTCCCATACTTATGCTGAATTTATGGACCTTGCTGTTCACAGCCCTTGGTCTCACAGACTGGGACACATCACTATAGACTGTAAACTCTATGCTACCACGTGTAACCATGGTGGTTACTTAACCCTGGGTTACCAACAGCATATGATTGAGATGGCTGCCCCTGTTGCAGAACCAGCACCGACAACTGGAGGATACTAACAACATGTACTTAAGTGCCAAAAGAATACAGATGAGACACAGTTCTCCTCACCCCATGCAAAATAAGGAAATTCCACAATCACTACACTAGCTGAGTACTTGTCTGAGATCAGACAGTAGAGGAAGAAGGCCTGTTTGAAACTGAAGTAGTGCTCGTGGCAGAAAGAAACACTAGAAACAACTTGCAAAGTCTAAGGTGAAAAAGTCCAGCTACATTTGCAACTTAGGTCATAACTCTGCAGACAATGATTTGATTTCAAGAATGGGCATTTGTTACCACCCAACTGGTTAAGAACTGGGAAATCTGCCCTAGGACAGCAACCGTTGACCTCTCAGGCTACCACAAGGTCATTGTTGCTGTCCACTACACACTACACTGTCTCTCCACAGAATAATGCACAAATTGCAAGATTCAGGTCTTTTCCTCACAGTATTTAAGTGTCCAGGACATCCAAGAAACTGCCTCACATTCCAGAACTGTAACCCTAGTCTTTAGGCACTAAAAAACAGATCATAACCAGGACAAAACTAATTCATGTTGGAGGCTGAGCTTCCGCAGAGACTAATTCAAGTAGGACAAACTAAGACCTGTTTACTTTTGAAGGTTAATTCCAATTGACCTAGGATCTGAATTGGTAGCAAAATCCCCGAAGTTCATTCCACCTCACTTTGGGCCACTGCACTATTTACCCAGGCTCCCTATATAGACAGTAGCAAGAGATTATCTTCAGAGAGAGATGCAGGTCACAAGAAAGCTGGGTCATCTTCACGAGATGCCAGGGACCAGTCTCTTTAAAGCAGCACATGCCACTCTGCTAATTGCCTCGCTGAGCTGGCCTGCCCCTCAGGGGCTTTAAGTAAGTGGGGTGAAAGGGTGCACGTAGGTATGACCCTCAGGTCATACGCTAAGACAAGTGGCATGAAGCATGACACAATTACTGCAGCTGTACAGAACCATGAATCTATCCCAATTTGCTTAGCAGCTGCTTGCTGCTACAGGAGCTGCAAGTTTGTAGATGATCGTGGCCATGTGATTCTCTTAGTACGGGGACTTGTATATTGGTCTTCTCCCTGCGGCAAACTTCAGGTATCTAAGAAAGTGCTGTGCCTTATTCTGCAGTTTTACAGCCACTGCCCATCTTCCTGGGTCTGAAGCACAACCCCATCTTATCAGCCCAGGGGTGAAACTCATAGGTACATATATCCTTTGGAGAATAGTCTATTGGCTGCTACAGATGCAAAGATTTACAGTGATGCAAAAGCCAAGTATGTTTTTGACTATGCTCATTACCTACCAGTCAGCATGAAGCAAGTAAAATGGACTCTTCAATTTGAAGTAAACTGCTCACGAAGAAAAGACTGTCCAAACATGAAATTATCCTGGACTCTTTTTTTTTTTTTTTTTTTAGGTTACTCCCTGTCACATATAAGCTTTTAAGATCTTCAGAAATTGTGCCCCCCCCCGAAAGTTATTTTCTGTCATGTCTGCCAAACATATATAGCAGAGCACAGTCAAAACATAAAAATCAGAAAGTCATCTATGCACATAAAAGTCTTCCTGCTGGCAGAAGAAAACAGAATAGAGAACAAATGCACTATGTATGATTAGTCAACCACACCAAGTCACCTCTATAAGATGCTGAGATACTATGGTTATGGGAATCACACAAAAATCTTTATTGACTAGGGTTTCTACAGATTACTAAGATCTTCAAGGAGCATGTTAAGTGTGACAAGAGCATAAGAGGGGATAGTATAAGGAGAAAGAGGTGGCTCATCAAAGGGGTCATTCATAAATGCCTGCCCCTTCTTGATTCCTGGCCTCTTAGAGCTTCCTGCTACTAACTACTGCTCTCTTCTTAGAAGCAACTCCTTCTCATGCCAACTGTTTCTCTTTCTGTTTGCTCTTCTACATCTGTGGAAGGAAGAAGGAAAGAAGTGGGCTTGCTAGGGACAACATGCTGTCCATACATTGTCTTCAGGGAAAGATGGAGGATCAGGAACTGTTAGGATGAAAACATTTATGGCAATTCTTTTCAAAGCTGCTCCTCCCACCTGGTAATCATCCAAGTGTAGCTCTCCCCTCTCCATCTTCCAAGCTGGCTCCTTGTATGTGACTTCTTTAATAAAACGTGCTACAATATTCTACTGCCCAATCCTCACTAATCTTGCACGCTGCCCTAGTACAACAGAGAGAGACTAAGCTCTTGTTGAGATAACTGGCTTCCATTAGCAACCATGTGATTGGCAGGACGATAAAGTCTTTTCCCTTGCAGGTCAGCTGCTTTTTAAGAAGAGGGCAATCCTGCTGATCCATCTTTTAGCTACAGTCTCTCACTGAGTCCCAAATCTCCTGCCTTTTAGCTTTGATATGGTTCAAGCTTTCCCCCTTGTATCAGCCCCTACCTGTCATCAGCTCCTCTGTACCAAACAGCCAATATCAGGAGTTTGACCTCGGGGCACAGTCCGGGTGGGCAGGTAAAACCTGACCACTGGACCTACTTCCTTATCTTTCATATCCTGCAATTCATGAAGAAGTATCAAATTCAAACTAAAAAACAGAAGCATGACCTTTTATAAGAACTTTCTGAAAAAGGCTCTGTTGCCTTTCTAAGTATTCTTGAAAAGAACTGTCATCCACCCTATTAAGATAGAAATGAATCACAAATAAGGAAGAGAGGGAAAACACTGCAAAACCTTACTAAATGGTAAATGTTTTAAATGTGTATTTGCAGTAACTTTTGGTGAGGCATGCAAAAATATAGAAAAAACCAAAACAAATACACTAGAACTCTTCTAAATCTACAAGCTCCAACTGCAACCCTATAAAGAGAGTTGCCCAGACTTTTGCTGTTTATCAAGTACCTGAAATGAATTAGATTCCCATGGTATACAGGGCATCCTCCCTAAAGCATTAATTGCATCAAGAAAATTCTAAATATAAGTTACTAACATAAACCGAGAGCTATCATAAGCAACATAATCCCTATTTATGTGACATGCTCAACAGCTGGTGCTTAAAACATACAAAAATATTATTTATTTCCTGTAGCAAGTGTGTACACACCCTGCCCTCCTGCGTAGCTGGAAAATACATTTTCCCTTGAAACAAACACAGGCTTTGCAAGGATTTATACCACTTTAGGTGGATGACAGAAATGGTGCCAAAATCCCTCAACATCCCTTCCCTTCAACTAAACTGACTTAGTACAAATTGGAAGATGTTTAGTCACTTCTAACACTGATAATAAAAGGACAATAAAAAAGAATCCAGAAGAGGAAGGCTGCTAGTTAAGGCAAGACTTGTGGTATTTGAAGTCTGGCAGAGTACGTCTTCACATACTGAATTCTGGAACTCCTAATGTACACGTATCACATGAACAAATCTTATGGCCACGATCCTATATTCTCCTCACGTAGTCCATGCTTATCCCATTGTAGATATTGTTCATTGTTATATTACTGTGAGAATGTAACAGGCAACTCCACCTTTTAACTTTTTCATTTAAAAATAAACTTTAATGAAGTCCTTTCTAACTGTTAGGAGAAACTGGAATACTTTTGCCTCAGGAATTTTCCCTTCTGAAATCCCTTTTCATTATCTTGCTGTGAAAAACCTACTAAACTATTAAAAGCAAAAATATTCTTACTATATAGATAATTTGGTATGGAATTCTTTCTACGTTTCATTTCTGATGACTTTGACAGGCTCATAATAGTGCTAGAAAATATCACCAACATCTGCAGAAAGCTAAAGACTCTCCACGTGCAGTTAATGATTCATTTCACTATTTAAATTACACTTATACTTGCAATTTTGTGAAATAATAAATCCTTTCTAAAAGCTTACTTGAAGTATAAAAAGTTTATGAAAACGAATTGCTATGAGTGAATATAGTGTCAGAATTTACAGAAAGCAGGGAATAGAAATAACTACATGAAATTAAGATAAGTAGATTTTAGTCTGAAAAACCCTTCCTTTTAGCAAGAACTGTGGAAAAGTGCTTCCGATATTAAGGCATTAAAATTAAATTTGATATAAAGATCAGCCAGATGGAATAAAGCTGCTTTCTAACAGTTTAAAAGAATTCTATGTAACAAATTAAGGAAAGGAAATGCTAAATAATACCATGCCTGATCCTGCTCTCCAGGGAGTAGTTTTGTAGACAGGAGCAATTGCTCAGAATGGAATCAGGCCAGCACACACCAGGGTAACATGTACACTCTTGCAAAAAGGTGTCACAAGATCTTTACAAAATTGTCAGGACGAAAATTCAATCTTATATCCATGTAACAGTACCACCAGTAGCACAGTGCCCCCTAACAACACATTAGAGAATCAGTTTTGTGCTAAATTACAGGGAATAGTGCCACTAATAACACTTCAAATAACCGCTTTTCAAAACTAATTACATGGGAATGCTAAAACATGAAAGGTTCTCGAATTTAATAACTTCGGCATTGGTCAAAAGGGGAAATTAGTAGGATAAAAAACAACAACTAGTGTCTTACTTGTCTGAGGTCGATGAAAGCTAACTGCAGGGTGTCTCCCTGGAATCCTGGCACAGGCTCAGAACTAGCAAACACTGCAAGGAAAGGTTAAAAATATTACGGATGCAGGTTTTTTTTTTTAAAAAAAATCTAACAGAAAATCAAGCTTTATGCATTATAAATGCTAGCTAGCACTAAAATGAAACAAGTTTGACAGAAATAGATTACAACTATTAACCCACGCTGATTAAAAGTGAACAAACCAACAAATAACTTTCCCATCATTTTTTCAGCTCCAATAATCCCCAAAAACAATACTTTGAGGAGTATTAATAGCAATTTTGCTTAAAATTCTAAACCAGTAGCAATGCTACAACCACAGAAGGCAACATCTTTTTTTTGGCCTGAGGTGAATGATTACTGAAGAATTTTGAAAAAATACCAATTCCACGGCTGTCAACATATTTTCAAACATCTGCTTTTGTTACAGCATCCACCCTATAAAAACTCCACCTCTAGTCAAACAGCAATTAAAGACAAACACTAAGGTGGGAGTTAGTTTAATGTGTAGACAACAGGTGGAAAGATCTACATGCCACAGTCAGAGCAGAGCTGAAATGCCTGTTCACACCTTTTAGCCAGCTTATTGATAATGAACTTCTGCTCTTTTTGAATCCCAAAATAGGCTGTCAAAATTGTAAGGCAAGACTATATTCAAAATACAAAAAATGGTAACTCTTATGCTAATGAAAAAAGTCAGATATTTGTTTAAATTAGGAAACTATCAATAATTGTCAAACTTAAAAAGAAATATACTTTTTGTTGTTCTTAACCCAGTCACATGTTTGTAACAGTCACTTGCAGAAACTCCCGTTGCCTCACATCCCCACTCAAGTTGGACATCTTATTTCAAAAGAGTTTAAGAGGATTTTTCTTATGCTCTTCAGTTGGAGCTCTTAACAAAACAAAGTAGATATTGCTGTAATAGTTGTAGAGGTCTATCTATCTGAGGCACTGAAAGGTTTCATTTTTTTTCCCTAGTTTGAGAAACAGGTCATTCATTAGTAGAGGAAACATTTCCAAAACATTTCCAGATCCAATGCTCAACTCTCCTGTGCCACATAGACTCCTACTAACATTTTAAAATAATGTGAAATCCTTAATAGATTTATTATTTTTAACGGCTACCTAGAAAATTTGGATCATCAAGTGAAAGTAACATCCAGAAAGACACTAATGTCTGGGCTAACATGATGGTAAAATAATGGGTTCAGTCATTTACTTCTGAATATACGGTTTCAACTTAAAGCAGTCTAATGAATTCAGATAGGCAATTCACAAGTCTGTATTCCACATAACCATTTTTAATGTAAATGAAAATAATAAAGATTCTTACTTAAGTGGTACAAGAAGCTACTGAGACCATCTCAAAATATCTAAGAATAGCTTAGTAATAGATGAATACAGTATCAGAGTAGAAGCCTTACCAGTAAAGGCAGAATTCATTACTTGTATCACAGTAGTACAAAAATTTTTATGGACAGTCATGTTACAGGAGAATGAATTAAACTGGTGTATGACTTGATTCTTCATTAACTAAAGGAATAAAAAAATACCAATCAAATGCCCTAGGGAGAACACTGTAATGTCATAGAATGGTGCGGGTTGGAAGGGACCTCAAAAGATCATCTAGTTCCAACCCCCCTGCTGTGGGCAGGGACACCCTCCACCAGACCAGGTTGCCCAAAGCCCCATCCAACCTGGCCTTGAACACTTCCAGGGATGGCACATCCACAGCTTCTCTGGGCAACCTGTTCCACTGCCTCACCACCCTCACAGGGAAGAGTTTCTTTCTAAGATCTAATCTAAATCTGCCCTCCTTCAGCTTAAGGCCATTACCCCTTGTCCTGTCACTACATGCCCTCTTTAAAAGCAGCAAAGAGAATACACTGTTTGTATAACCACCGACCTGCAGAAAAGCAAAAGATCTGCAGGCTTGTGAAAGCACCGTTCTCAACACCCTAGGCTAAAGCGTTTGTTGTCTCCATTGCTGTCTTCTGCAGGCATATCATGGCCACTGGGACCACCCTTTCTTCAGGGACAGACAGGCCTATGATGCTGGCCCCTGTGCTCAGCCAAACATAGCATTTAGAATGTGAACACCACACCATAGCAGGGAATTCTTAGCAATGCCCCATAGCAATCAGCTAAAAAGAGATACACAGGTTGTGAGCTATGGCAGCACACTAGTAAGGAGGATAAGCGTGATGGTCAGAGGGGTCTCTTCTAAATCCCCTAAACGCCTGTACTATTCTTGAAAGATAAGGCCCTTCTGTATCTGATCCTGTGTAACTTTCCATTCATACACAGTATACAGACATCAGCTTCCCCAACCCAAATGTAAGCTCCTCCAGCCTCTCCACAATGGTAGCACTGGGAGAAGGGAGCTCTGTGGCAAAGGAATGGCCAAAGAACTGGAAAGCGTATTTGAAGTCCTGCAGTAAAACTTTTCAGTTAGCTATCTGCGCTTTATACTTTGGGAGGTACTTTCTTATAGTGAGATACTTTTTCGTACCATAGGGCAAATATTTGCATCCTTTCTGCAGCCCATCAGGCTAACATAGTTTGCAATTTATCCTAATGCATTAAATAATGCAGTATGATTTAGTTTCTCTACTATTACACCTATAGAACAAGAACCAAACTTAATTATTGTATAATATTTGTTGTCTTTAACTACAATTTAATATTATAAATGCATTTACAACACCAGAGACACTCATAGCACAAGCATTTATTCTCACATTTGGGTCATTTTTGACAAGTGACTACAGTAGAATTTGTTTCATTATTACAATTTAATGAGTTCAAAGGACAAAAAGATAATCTACTTATGGTAACAGTCAGACAGTTACCCCTCACCCTCAGCTCAGGGCTTTTAAGTCTTGCTAACAATTTTACAAAGCTAATTAAATATTTTCTGCTGCACAGCATTTTAGGAAGATATTATAAGAAAAGGATTAACATTCTTAATGTCTTCATCCTAAGGGTCCTTTTCCAGATAGTAGTGAAACATTGTTAAATATACATCTTTTAAAATATTGACCCCTTACATTCATTCTAGGTTTAAAGAGGATTTGGAGGGGTAGGGAGCTGGTTGGTTTAGTGTGCATAAAAGCATTCAGAAATTGTATTATATGAGAGAGTGAAAACGCAAAGATCACCATTAAGCTGTCACATATAGGGGTAAACAACTACCTGCTTGGCAGTGTGAATCAGAAACTTTAATGTTTTCGGGCAAATAAGCTCTAAATATGCATTACATGAATCTGGTCAAGGTTTTTGTTAACAAAATCTTTCCCTGCACTTTGCTGATACTGTGTAGACCTTCTCTGTGTATATAGAATAGGATCTTTGGGACAATGTGCATCCACAATATGTATAATCTCAACATAGTTCCTACAATAGCCAGTTTGGGAGTTTACAGGAGGTAGGATCTAACGGAAAAAGTATGTAATAATACAAAAACAGGCTGGGAGGTAACACATACAGGAGAATGGTAAATTTAAATATTGTAAAGATTACTTCAGTCCATTTTCTTTTGAGTACTTTGATCTTTTCATTACATTTTGTATACAGGATATATGTGAATTGATATATATATATCTGTTAATGGATATCTTAAGAAAAAGGCTGTCTCTGCTAAAATGGAATTTAAGATATCTGTAACTGTAAATTGCACTGAATTTCTATGCACTTCTAGATTTATTAATTTATTCTCTCAAACCCCCATCTTTTAGCCATTATCTCTGTGTGCCTCTCTGTTGGTCTGGGAATTCAGTGCCTAGTTCCTGATAAATAGTTTTGCTGCTCAGTGCAGAAATTAAAAATCAGAGTCCAGACTTTGGATCAAAAGCTGAATTAGGACAGTTTTATTTCAGCCTCATAGCATCAATTCAAAGGCAGGACAGTAAAACTACAAATGTATTTCTAAAGGAAGAGGGGAGAATCAGGTGACTATCACAGCAGCCGTCAGCCACTTTGCAGCCCTGTTGGATGCTCCAGCTGTTCAAACATGCCTGGAGGGGAGCCGCGCTGAGGGAGCTGCCAGCTGGCCGGGCATCAGCCCCGAGCCCAGCCCCCAGGCCCGGCGAGAGCTCACTGCTCCCCCTCACTCCCGTGCTGCTGCCATATGTGACCACCAGATGAAGGATGGTCTCAAGTCAGCTAAGTTAACCTGACTTCCCAGATGGGAGGGGAGGCAGGTAAAGTGAGGGGCCTCCAGAGGAGAATATTGTGCCTTTTCAAGGAAAAAACCCAGGATTTTCATTCCTCAGCTTCTGGCATGTCCACATGGAGATCATCTTTGTGTACACTCAACAGAGAGCACTTGGGTCAAGATCTCTCTTGCTCTTGGATACTGCAGCTCTCCACACAGTGGGTGAAAAAGGAGGGACTGGCAGGAAGCCCTGCGTAGGGCTGGTTAGGAAGGTGTATTGCATCCTGCTTTGTGCTAATTCTCTGCTAACCCATGCTCAGTTATAGGCAGGACTCAAAATCTTTTCATCCTTGCATGGATTCATGTCTGGCTGAAGAAGGATGCCTACGCAATCACACCTCCTTCTGCCAATTAATCCTGTCTCACAATTCAGCTATGTTAAAAAACATAAATTGTAAAAATTATTGATAACTCTTCCAGCAATTAGAGTTTCTGACAAGTTCTAATTCTTAATAAAATGTTGATATAAGATATCTAGATCTGGATGGTGTCTCTGAAAAGCTCATTTTCTATTACATACACCTTGCTTCTCAAAGTGAGATATAGCAAACCACATTTGAATTTCATCTTCAAGAAATGGCAAATGCCTCCCCTCCCCAAGCCATTTCCTTCTTCAGGACACTGAAATGCAATGTGCAAGCAAAAGACTCTTCTTTGGGTTTTATTCAATGGGACCTAGTACATTCTATTTCTCTAAATACTGTTGTGAGAATCCCAGTCATCCTAGTAGAATATCACCATTGAGAAAGAATGGTGTAAAATACAAAGGTAAAACACTGCTCTAAGTCATAAAATACGTAGAGAGAGTGGAGAAATACTTCAATCGGAACAGGACACACTGAAATCAAACTGAAAGTTTTTGGAATGTTTGAAAGGAAACCCAAAAACTTATTAGAAAGATCATCACTTTTTTTTTTTTTAAATAAATAATCAGAGAAGACCACTTGATACTATTACTATTCTTGAGCTAAAGTATCAGATGCTTCCAGATTTTCTGCTCTGCTTCTTAAAGTTAGGTACTTTGCACAGAACTACAGTGCAGGATAATGAAATCCCAGAGATCACCACAAGATCACCTCCTTCCCTTCCATCTTCCTTTCTTGAAGTCCACTTATCATTCCACCTATTTGCTGTGACTAAGAACTTCAGCACTTACTGACTTTAACAGACTTCCTCGTTCACAGGTTGTTGGGTTGTTTGTTGGACTGTTGATTGCTTTTCAATGGAAAAAAATATGACAAGTAACCACATTTTCCTGCTTTTATTTAGATCTCTCCCAGTTCATATTAGAAAGAATAAAAATGCAATGTTAAAGATCAGAATAAATATCTAGAATATTGCTAAGAATTTTTAAAAATGTATCTTCAGATATTCATAACTTTCTACATCTCACATAACTTCTTAGTTCAAAATGCATTTGAGTATACTCCACTGTGTCTATAAGTAAAACGTCAAACCCATGTATACAATACAGTAGAAAACTACCTAACAACTGTGAATTATTTGCACAGTCTAAGCACTAATTGAAATGTCACTGTCGTATCCATTAATCCCAAAGTGTCAAAGAATAAAGCTGGGGGAGGGTGACAAGCAAGAACATAAATCACAGGCATCACAGTGAGGCCTGGAATGTGCCTATGATGGACCTTATGAACGAAACCACAACAGCAAAGCAGTCCCTGAGCAAAATCTTGTGCCAATCCTCTATTCCACAAATTGTAAGATGTCATTTGTTGCAACATAGTATTATGACAAGCTTCCATAATTACCAGGACAAACTCTCAACCTCTGAGTTTTTCCACTTTTACTCTTCCAATTCTCTTCCTCATCCTGCCGTGGGGGAGTGAGTGAGTGGCTGTGCGGTGCTCAGTTGCAACCATGACAACTACTCAGCTTTTGTGCAAAATCATATTTTTTCTAACATGCTTTAAAAGCTTTGCAGGAAGGAAGAATTAAAGTTTATTCTATTTGCACCTGTACAGCCCATGCTAGAAGTTACACAATGGTGCATTTTTCAGTCTTTAAGTTAATAGCATTCTGAAATTCAGCTCAGTATAACAGCTACATATAACAAAACATGTTGTCTTAAGGTTATATTTTAATCTTTAAATCATGAAATGTTATCATGTTAGATTAAATAAAACTCTATTAAGATCTTTTCACTGATTGAAGTTTCCACTATGCAGCAACCAAAGATGGTAGAAAGAGTGGTCATAGAAATTAGGATGGTAAATAACAGGGGAAAAGCTAAGACAAAGGTCTGAAGAACCCAGAGAACAGATGACAGCCAGACTCATTGGGACTTCTCATTACTTTGCTGTGAACACACTGTTCATACTGTGAAAGTCACCTGCATTTTATCCCCTGTACTGCTAGAAATGCTCAAGTGAAACAGTGAATCGGTTCATCTGCACAGATTAGCAAAGTACTGTGTTGTTCACAGATAATATTTTAAATATTAGAAACAGAATAATATGGTAGTGGGCAAGCTTTCTTTGCTGTTATGCTCCTTGTTCAGAAGGCAGAGGCACAAATTCAGCTCGTCTAGATGAATGACTATAGTGTCAGTATTATGAATGCTATGGAATTTCTGTTTTTACAACTGGGATCTTTTTTACATTAAGGAAATTACACAAATGCACATACACATACCCCTACCCACCTACCTAAGAAGAACACTATTAAATTTGCAACATCAAGCGTACTAAAAGTAAAAAAATAGTCAAACTATCATCTGTTCAGCCAACTTGTGCAATCACGAGACAAACTTTAATGTCATGATCACAAATATTTTTTTCAATCAGACCCTGATAATCCCATCAGTTCATTTTCATTCCATGCACTGAAAGGCCTTAAGGCTGTATGATGAGGGACTGTCAGAAAGATGCCTGCTCTACCTGCTACGGAGTTTATTTGGAATGTAACAAATAAAGCAGGAGAAAGACAAACAAGCATATGGTTAAAATGTCAAAAATGCCCCTTAACTCTGTCCCTGGACTCCCACAAGAACCCTTTGTGATGCTAACCAAATTGGTTAAAATCAAATTTCCAGTTTCCCATAGGTGGCTGCTAATTGCGTAGTCATCAATTTTTTCACGTGTCCAAATTAAAAACCTCAGGATACGACTTGCAGAACTGCCCCATTTTACAGCTATCAACAAAATCATTGAGATCTGTGCTTCAAACACATAAGAGGAAAGATACTTTGAAAAAAAAAAAAAATCATAAGAATCTAAAACTATGCATTAAAAAGACCCCCAGTGAGCCTTTTCACTGTATCTCAGTCATCAACTATAAAAACAGACCTAAAACCTATTCATACCACAATGCTGTTATGGAAGTAACTTCCTTCATACAGTTGAACAGCTCACCCTCAGCGGTGAGCTCCATGTAAAACATGAGGAAATTAATCCTGTCTTCAGTGCTGGATTGAACCACTTTTATAAAATAATTCTGATGCCATGTTTTGAACAGTAAGAATAAAACATCTGATGTTTACTAAATGAGTACTACTATTCTGCACAGCGAGTAAGGCAGTCATAATTCTAGGAGGGAAGAAACCCCATGTAACAGCACATTTAAAATTTGTATCATAATAAATAAACTCAAGAGGGAAAATTAAAATTTCACAGACATTTGATCCTTTTTTTCTCAACTATAAAAGCATAATATTTATGTAGTGGTTTGGGTGGTACTAGACTATAGTCTTTTTACTGGATATAGCAAATATGATCCCTTTAGGAGTAACAACAGATGTATGCTTCAAATGGATACTGGAGTTAAAAAAAAGTTCCATTAAAAAACTCCCAGAAATATTAATGTACTTACACATAAATACTTTTACAAGAAGCTGTACTGTAATAATTTTTTAAAAACCCAATAAAACAACAAAGCTTTAGTAGATTATGGAAAAAAGATCACTATATGGCTTACTTTAAAGAATTTTTTGCAACGTTAAGACAGATATAGATAGGAATCGTGGAACATCTACTTACATTCACACTGTATCACATCTAAATTAAACTGCTGAATTGCTCCCATGCTTATTTGTTTTAATTCACTGTCCAGTAGCATCTGCATTAGGGACATTGAAAGATGCTGGCAGGCTGACATGCAAGCTGTCTGGGCCACTTTTCCCTAGTAGAAAGAGCAACAGGTTTTAAGATTGAAACAAATGATATGTCACTAAGGAACTGCTTATCTGATTTGATTTTAATACACATTCAAAGTCCTAATGATGCAGGATTTAGATTAGAAAGAGAACGATGACACTGGCTGTTATTTCTTTGACCTGTTAGCTTTGTGTCTTTTAAATGAGTTGGGGAACTAAATTAAATATACATTAAAGCAGTTACTGATATTTCTTCCAGAAAATCCAGCAGTCTTCATGAATACAAGGACATTTCCAAAACAGCAACAATGTAAGTTGCTGAAGCACATGAACAGCTTTGTGGACTTATTTATTTTAAATTTTTTTACCCAAACAGAATGAAAGTAAGAATGTACTGAAAATCAACATGCTGCATATGCTTAACAGTAGACAGAAAAAAACCCCTCAAACTTTACATAAACCAAAACCATTGCTTTCAGTTGGGCCATTTCCCATAACAGTTTATGCTAATTATTGGCACTTTAATTGCTTGAATTCCATCTCAAAGCTTGTTGCTAAATTATTTAAAATATTTATGCTTATCCATCAACTTTTCAGGTGCTTAATAAATCAGTGCTGTCAGTAATCAACTAACAAAATGAAATGTAGCCCTCTGCTGTACAAAATGGAAATAATTTTCCAATCCTAGCCTAGTTGTAACATTTCTCTTTATGATGTGTATGTAATTGAGACAAATAATTTTCCAAACATGAGACCAAAAAACAAAGCACAAAATCAAACATTAATTTGATAAATTATTAAAAATTTAGTACAGAAAAATTGAAGGCTATGGAAATTCTACCTTATGATTAAGAAAACCAATTAAGACCAGATACCCGATCAGATGGCACCATTCTGCTCATAGCACTGCAATCTTTTAGAGCAGAGTGATCTTGGCTTTCAAATGCAATTATACGAATCTCTGAAGTTTAATCTACTTAAACTATGCTTTTCAACTGACATCTATATTACAATATGTATTGAAACAAAGGTAACTATTGACACGCTTACACAAAAGAAATCATAATTACGTAATACATGTACTGGAGCACACACCACTATCGTTTTACTTATATTTATCTGTAAAGTGACGACACCTATTCTCTAAAACGATGGTTCCCCAGCTGTTTTCTGCAAAGTCACATTGATCAATTCACTGTTGACTCGCAGAAACGTATATAAGCAATGAAAAATGGTAAGGATAGATGGCAGTTCACTGTTCCAAAACATTTGGAGTTCTGCTCCAATATCTGAAGAGCCAGATCTTGTCCTTAATAAGACAACTTGCTCACATCATTGAATTTTCATGTGTGCGTGTGTGTTTATATATATACACACACACATACATATAACAGAAAGCAAATTTGGCCCTAAATATTTTGTAGTGTAAAAATCCTTTCTTTGTTAAAACATAATTAAAATGTAGACAATACAACGGAAAGCAGTCACTCTCCTCACATGTCACAATGAAACATTAACTGGCTTTTTCTAATACCTCTTTAGCATTAGGACACCTTGAACTGTTAGGAGCTTTATATCTAAAATAACATGTCAGTTTCTTAATTGAAAATCTCAGAAAAGCAAATAACATTTTTGACCAAAACAGATGAACTGACAACAAGGAATGTAAGAAACAATGCAAGAACAGCATGCTTAAAAAGTCTCCCAAACCCAATAGTAATTACACTGGGAGACATGCAGCTCTATTCCCCAAGCAGAAGAATATCAATATGAATGAAAAAAAAAAAAAAAAAAAAAGGAAACAAAGAGGAAAAAAGAAGAAAAAGAGGAGGTGAGAAGGGGAATCAGTGGGCCACAGTTCATTTAATTACAGTGTTGTAGGTTTGAAATACTTAATGGAAATGTCATTTTGATTTAATGGAACAACTAGTGCATCACTGTTAAATGTACTGCTCCATCAAATCAGCTCCATGTCCTATTTATGCTGCCACTATAATGTAATAGAAGTTCAACCAGATTAATAGGTTGTCAAGAAAAATTTTAACATTCAATTTATTTTATATGCGAACAATGTGTACTCCTCTATTTTAAGTAAAACACAGAATTGTTAATTTCTGACAAGTATCTGTAGTTAATTGTTACAATCTGGCAAATATCAATAGTACTGGAGCACAAGATAATGGTTACAATACAGAAATGACATGGTAAAAGCCACTGGTACTTTAAATAAGTATCAATACATGTAAATTTAATGCTTATTTTAAAATTTCATAAAACGGAAACATCCTGACATTTAAACTATTTCCAACTATGTAACTTGAACTACAGGCTTATTGTTCATGACATATCAACAAATAATAGAAGTTTACTATACACAGTTTATACTTACTCAGTACAATCACCCGATTTTCTTAAATCTAGAGAAAACATGAAGCTATGTATATCAATCAAAATGCTGAATTTTAACTGAGAGAAATGTGAACTTTACTGTTATCCTCTTCAAAATTCAGTGCTTCCCAGCTAAATATGTTGGATGTACAATATTCAGGAAATAATTAAATTCGAATTTGTGTTTGACAAATGAGATACAGTTAAAAAATCTCTCTCCAAATTTCCATCACCCACCAATTAATCAATTCCTTGCCCTTTTTTCATAATGCATTTTGAAGAGGAAATTTAAGGATTCACGAACATCACAAAAACATGTTTCTTTTCCAGAACTAAACACATCTCAGTTAGTTTTGAAATATTCAATGTTTATTATTTGTCAGTTTGGGTTTTTTTATTTACCACTATAATTTTTTTAAGGGAGGTGGTGGCCGTGGTTACTGTAGCTAGCAAATATTTAAATACCTATATTTGAAAGCATGCAGAGATTCAGCAGGCTTCTCACATTCGCTCCAGTTGCCTCCCATTTGGAGACAGCACTATTATCTCTGCTGTGCCTATGCTAACTGCCACTATCTACAAAACCTATTCTTCCACTCAACCAATGTAAAGTCAAAGAAACAAGGACCCTATTCTATAAGCAAAACCACCTGCTAACAGTGTTAAAGGCAACCGTTTTTTCACCCAGCCTTCACATTTTGCTGAAATACAAGTTTGTAAAAAGAGAAAACCCTTAGACAAACTTCTTATATTTCAAAGGAGCTTGTAAAGAGAATCTGCTGACTTATTAAATCCTTTTTTATAGGACCCAAAAGCTTTTCTCCTAAGAACAATTGCAGTAAAGAGACATTTGGCTCCTAGGAAATTCCCAAAGGGTCAACCATATGCATCCTTCCACGGCACCTTCGTGGTACTGCCTTCTAAGACCCATGCTAGCTGTCTCAAAAGCAGCTTTCATCATTCACTACGGTGTCAGTCAGTATGATTTATGGACTGCATTCAACAAAGTCAAAGCATATAGAATGAGAAATATGACTACAATCTGCTAATTTGTTTTGTATTGAGCCACTTAGGAGTCAAAGACCTGATGTCAGGCTGAGACCAGCAACACAATTAACCGGCCAGTGACAGATTCATCCATCCTCCCTGCCAGGCTGTGCCAATCAAAGACAGCATGAAGCAGCGTTTGGAGAAATCGGTAAGAAAACCCATTCTCTAAGTAGCCTGTGGAGGCTGTTGATTGACAGGTTTTGAATATAGCTGCAGAAAACCACCACCCCTTCACCCTCACTGCAAGCTGTGAAATTAGGCTTTTGCTGCCAATCACAGAAACAATCAAATAACACAAACTGCCATCCTCAGCATAAAAGAAAATAACAAAACTTATCTGTTAAATCTAAGAAGTTAAGCTGAAGAATGAATTTAACAATATGAAATGACATAATAAAAACCTTTCTGAAAATGCAAAGAAAATAAACATACAGGTTTCATCAGTCATAAAAACTAAAGCATGGTATTACTTAACATCAGGACTAAAATCCAATTTTTGGACTACTGACAAAACCCAAGTATATTAAAAAACACTAACAGAATTTTTAAGACTCAATTTTACTTCCAGTCTGCCCCAAATTCTACTGGTAATATTCAAAAACACCTACTTGAAAGTAATTTGTAACTGTTACTTTTCAAGTCATTCTTTTCCAGAGAGTTGTCCAATACTAACTTTGTACTGACAAAACACGTCTAGAATAAAATATTTCAGCTAATTCTAAACTTAGATTAAAAACATTTACATATACACCCTCTATAATTTCAAATTAACTGATCTGAAAATAAGAGCTATGACTTTTCTTTAACTGTTCAAAATAAAAAATGCAGGTCCTTAATAACAAATTTGATGATCCAATTGATTTAATGAGATTAATGGCTGCATAATGAAATTTTTATTTGCTTTTTGATTCAAAGTATCTAGTGGTACTATAAACTGCAATACAAACTTAAAATGGGATGTAAAAGAACCTGAAAAAAAGCAATAATCTCAGAAGGTCAAATTCTTGTGACTTCAGAAAACAGAACCATTAAAAGCTGCATGACTCACAAATTATAACCTTTCAACAGCAACACAGCCTCTGTGCTCTGCATCTCTGAAATTCTGGTAGTGCTTGGTCATGACACAACCAGCACACTGACACCTATTCAACATTAACAGGAAATATTTCTACACAAAATATTCAGTATTCCTAGTGCTCATGACACTTACTAGCTAGATAGTTCAACATCAGACTTAGTATTCAAATCATAGAAGTGTTCACTGGAATGAACCACCACAGTCACCTAGTCCAGCCTCCTACTTGGAGTAGGACTATTGCCAACACTGTCCTTTTTTCTGGCTGCGCCTTCAAAACAACTGAGGATGGGAATTCCACAGCCTCTCTGGTCAACCTTCTCCAATGCTACTCTCTTCACACAAACTTCTTCCCTAATGCCAAAGCGTCATCTCCCAAGTTTCTACCTCTGACCATAGCCATAGGTGAATTTGTCAGTCCTACCAAGAAGAGCTTGGCTCCATTACCTTTGTGTCTGTCCTTCAAGAGGTTGTAGGCTGTCACGAGGTCTCTCCCCAGCCTTCTCTTTAACAGACTAAAAAATCCACCTCCCTAAACCTCCATTTGTAACTCATGTGCTCTAGGCTCCTAACAACTTGGAAACCCACTGCTAGATCCTCTCTCCAGATCCAGAGCTACTACTCAGCCAATCATTTTCCAGACTGTAGCAGTGAACGGGGTTATTCCCACACTGTGTACTCTAAGTGCCTTACACATTTGTTCACTTAAGCAGTGTACAGCAACAAGATTCAACCACATTACAGTTATTAGAGAAAATTAGTAAAAGTAAGTTCAGAAATTCAGTATTCAGAAGCCACTTACAATATTAATTTCAACATAATATTAATTTCAACACTTTCATTATCATGAAAATGCTTATACCAACTCAAAAGAAACTCCTTATAAAAAAATCGATGACCTGAAAATAATCCGGGCTTGTAATAATTCTTAAATGCAATCCATCATCATCTTTAAAAAATAAATAAATTTGAGCACACACATTTCTTTGACCCCAGGCAGATGCAGCAAAGAAATAATGGAACTTTCAGTGACTCTTTACTCTGTTATATTACTCTACCCTTATTCTGTATGTGTGTCTCATAGTTGCATTTTGGTACCTGATCTCTTTTCCAAAAGGTCTCATAGTCTCCTCTAAATTATCTCATTTGGGATGTAAGGCACACCCTACTACCCTTCTGCAAGGTTTTTAGGGCTCCTGCTGTCCCAGTGTACAAAAGCCCGATGTTAGTAATTAACCTGATCCCTGCATGCAACTACACAAGGTACTCAGCAAGTCACCAGTGAAACAGAAGGGTCTTTTATTAAATGATTAAAATTGAAGCAATAAGCCTGCAGGCAGTTCATAGTTTTTCAGTTCACATGCTTTTTCTTCATCTTGCATCTACTTACCGACATAGCTGCATGGTCATTGTTGTTATTCTGAGAAGGAAACCAGTAAGGCAATCAAAACAAAAAAAATTAAGATGTACTGTCAACATCCAAAAAAAAAAAAAAAAAAGAATAAAAAAATTGGTAGCAATAAAAGGTAAGGAAAAGCTTCCAAAAAAGACAACTACAGCTACACAATTCCTTACTTTTTTTAAAACCTGTGAACTTATATAGTATTTTGTTGAGGCATAACAAAGAGATTATCATTTAAATAATACTAGTTCAGCAATAAAATATTTTTCTGTAATAAGGAACTATATGCCAAAATATCAAAGTAGCAAACTTAAATGATGAAGCATCTGTTGATATGCCTTTCCAGAAAGTTTTCATTACAAGAAATAATATATTCCAAAATATTTAGATTTAAAAAATAAATGTCATGTTTACTGCCTTGGCTTACAGAGGCTATCTGTACGTCATTAACGCACTTCGTTCAAGCAAGACTTAGAATGGCTCAGGACAGTAAGAATCTAAATGTAACATGACCCATTCATAAATTTTAACATAAATCTAATGGTAATTAGATTTAACATATGGGTTTTAACATAAATCTAATGGTAATTAGATTTATGGAGGGTGGAATAAAGCTATTTTCTTTTCCAAAACTGTTTCATAAGCACAGTACACAAGCACAGAGGAGAAAACTAAAATGTAAAACTTAGGAGAAAAAAAAAAGCTTCAGAGACACAAGACATTTCCAGTGATTCAATGGAGATATCAGACCCCAAATAAGCTGTGCCACAAAGTGTGCAGGTTTGGTAAAATTGAGATCATGGTCTACTGATTTAGATCTCTAATTTCCAATAAAAATAACACAAATTGCATAAAATAGATATTTAACATAAGATGTATTTTGTAAAAGTTACATCTACATTGTTACAGAAATACTCCAGTATAGCCCCACATGGAAGCACAAAAGGAGACACATGGCTGTGCATTTACACAGCTTATACATACAGCTAAAATAAAACAAGACTAATGACAGGAACCCAACAACTGCAACAAAAAATTGTTAAAGAACTTATCCTAACACTTCTACAAGACGACTAGAGTTTGAAACAATATCAAAGAGAAAGTCAGTGACCCCTGAACAAGACTATGGAGGACTCGTGTGGCCAACTAGTGTCCCTAGCCCTAGCACAACACCCTCTAACATGATCAGATATGCTAGGGTAGGAAGAGAAGAGATTCCTCTACTTGTCCTGTTCTTTTCCTTACTAAAATTACAGCTGGTAGCTAGGACTTCTGTTTGATTTTTAATTACAGAAAAGGTTCTGAGAAACTATTTTGAGCAGTGGAATGTTTCTGCCAGCCATACAAAAACTATGGAAATGACACGGTGACTTTAATGGAATAATCCATCAGTGAAAATGAATACTAAAACTTTTGCAAATCTTAACTATGGCATATGAGAATCTCAGTTTAGGTGTCCAAAGCACTTATTATTTTAAGGAGTTATGGAACCTAGTTCTGGGCTTATCTTTGAAAACACATTTACTATAAATTTCTCTTAATGAAAATAACTTACTATTACAAATCTAACTAGAATCATCATAATGAAACTGTATACACATTTTCATATAACCTCCACAGCTCATGCACAACAACATTCGTAGGACTGCATGTTTCCACAATTGGCCAAGCCAGAATAGCAAGTGATACACAGGATAAGACAAAAATTACAAGAAACCTCTTGCCGTACCAGACTAGTCATCTATACGACATCCTGCCTGTTACCTGACCAGAGTCTGAAATTACCAAATAACCTCTTCACAGCAACCAGCTTTCTCCGAAGGTTGACTTGTGGCCCCAGGTGCATATTTCTACTCCTTTCACGCTTTTCAAGCCCTAATGCCACAGCTGCTTTTTTCCGTTCCTCTTAAAACATTACTTTGTTCTGTCAGTGGCTCACTTCCAAACAGCTGTATCACAACATACATTCATGACCAACTTCTGTACATCCTTCTCTAGAAGTTGCACATATCTGAACTGCTATGTGCATATGGCCATTGAAGAGTAGTGCCATTTGTTCACACAGTTTTGCACATTAGGTTACAATGAATTTAACTACCTAACAAACTTGCTATTCTTTATCAAAAATCGCTCAACTGATTTAGCATAGAAGCACACACCTCACATGTCACATTCACATCAATATTACGTGATACTTTTTGAGTGAGTTATGCCTTTGAGTCAGTAAAAAAAGACAAGACTAAAGAATCACAGTCTCTTCACATGCGATTTGGAAGACCAGATAAGCCTACTATGCCAGCAACTTCAAAACCTTGCTGTGCTCATGAAGAAATTATCTTTTACTTCCAGTCTGGAGCCTCAAAACATTCTATGCATTGAGGACTTACTCTTTATCGGCATTGCACATGGGTAAAGCACTCAGACTTCAGTGTGACAGCAGCAACCAAGGACAAGCTGATGAAAAGCAGATGCAGCTTAAAAGACTTACTGAAGATATAGACCTATAAAGCTACAAAGTATTATGATGATAGATCGAACTAATCTTTTTTTTGTCTTAAAGCAAGGGGAAATCAGACAACAGAATGTAACAATTAGTACATAAAACAGGTTAACAGTACCCTTTTACCCAGGAAGAAGTAACACAGGATATATTTGATTATGAACAAGGATTCATTTCAATGAAGCTCAGTTAACTAGAATCAAATGACATTTTATGATCAAAACTATTTAGCTAAAAATAACCTTCGAGAATCAAAAACCTCCATAATCTTATGCACAAATGCAGGATTTGCACCAATTCTGCATTGTCTGAATCAATGCATGTGTACACAGAACCAATATGGTTAATTAAAAAGGTCATCTCTAGAAAAGTGCATGAGTTCTTACACTAGTTGTAAATTAGCTGTTATTAACAATATTACTCAAGTATTTGAAAGTATTTTCTAAGTATTACCATAGGTAAGCATCACCAACATACAGAAACACATCTGAAAATACGTCTGTACTGAAAAAAATTTAAAAATACATCTGCCAGCATGTGCACAATTCAAAAATCACATCTATCTTCAAAATCTTAGTATTTTAAAACAAAATAATGTTCCGATAGTTTGAAATTAAGCTTAATTTTGAACACTTACAGGTAAATGAGTAAAAACTTGAAATGTGCTTCTTAAAAAGTTAATAAGGTCCATTAAGTATCCACTGGCTCTTCCATCCGATTCAGACATTGTCCAATCATAATCAGCAATCTGAATAAATTCATCTATTTTTTGGTTAAGTTTTGTGTATATTTCTCCTTCTGCAGCATGCCTTGCATCCTGAAAAAAAAAAATTATGTGCAATTGTCAGAATTCTAAAATATTATTAGAATGCAGATAAAATTATATTCATCAACAAAACAGAAGTCTTGTGGTTTTCTTAAATTCAAAAAATATTTAAGTCAGTATTTTAGCTTCCATCTTACAATTAGTCTAAGGTTGTGTTTTTTAAAATACTCCCATAATGTATACTATGAGTGTTTATAACAGAATATGCCTACACAATAATCTAAGTTCTCAGAGATGAAATTAATTTTAATTTGGAAACAAAGCAATTGCTTTACTCTCTTCACAACAACCACCTTTAATTCAGCCTTACAAATTTATCAACTTTGACACAAAGTTTATTTGCCCTCTTTTACAAAGAAGAAAATAAAAGAACCTAATTATTTTATCTGTTACAGCTAGAGATCCAGCAATCGTATGATTTTTATGTAATTAATGTCTTAAAGCTGCACATCTGAAGAATACTCATCACTTTTCATCCTCCTTTAAATATGCCGATCATGACACACCGTGATTCAGAACACCCCCCTACTTCATCCCACCCCTACTTTTTGTTCTGCCACCACCTAGATTCTACTTTTCAGAACAGTGGAGAGGTGAAGTCTAGCATTTACTGTGAAGTGAGTTTATGATGCTATCTGCCTTATTTGTTTAGGGGACATCCTCATAGATGCAATGGGACCTATGTACAGATGCTTGATAAAGTTTATCTTGCTGGAAAGGCATGCTTTTGCACGCATTACTCGATAAATTCTATGTTCTAATATGGGTTCAACATGAAACTTTCTTCACTTATCTTCAGAAAGAATTCAAGATACTTGATTTAAAGTGAACTAGTCAGTTGCTGAAGGTTTTTAGAGAAAAAAAAGTAGGCTGAATGTACTGGAGCAACATAAAAATGGATTAAATTCCCATCGCTGGTTTCCTCTGGGAGAAAGCAGTCCAAAAACATGGCACTTCAGGAAAAGGTGTAAATAGGAAAGGCAAAAAGAAAAAAAAAATCAAAATTATCTGAGCTTAAAGGTGGCATTGCACTGAGTGTGTCAAATTCAGTCGTCAGCCAGACCCTAGGCTGTGAGGCACTTCAGGAGGAAGCAAAAAAGCATGCGGCTCTGCCACGTAGAAATATCAAAGTACAGTTCCCTAAAAATAGCACTTTTACTACCAAATCAACTAGTAAAAGACTCCATTGAAGAGCTCTCCCAATCCAACACATAAGAATCTAGCAACCTATTAACATGTCAAATAAAGTAAGATGCTGACATCCACAATTTTGTAGATGGCTATGACTATAAAAGCCTCAATTTAAGTCAAGTCTATGTTTAAAGTTTTTAAATAAGAAGACCTCAGTTTCAACAATCTATAATGGCAAGACTTGCAAATATATCTGCTTAGGTTTAGTGTGGTGGCCTGGTTTTTTGGGTTGTTTTGGGTTTTTTTCTGTTTAAAAACTAAGTAATTTATGGAGTGGTTGTATCATCTTCACCAGTTAAGTGCTTCTAGTAACTGGCAATGACAAGACTAGTCCTTCAGGTTTTGTTTCTGGAAGGCTGTTTTGAGCTACCTTTTATTTTGATTTGGTTACTGGGTTACAACTGGAGCAGCATGCTGCCAGTACTAAGTGAGGAGTGCTGCTCTATCCCCTGAGATAACTGTGGACAGCCGAGCAATTGGATTTCAATCCCGGAAGTTACTTCTGAGAAGCAGCACTGTGAATCCCATGCACACGTCAAGAAAGCGTGAGTTAGAATATTCAGGTTTGCAATGACTCCTAGAGACAGGTGAGTTAACTCCATCTCTTCTTTTAAGGTGGTGACAGAATTGCATCAAAAACCAAAAATCTCACCAGATATCCCCCAATTATAAAAGTGAAAAGGGCAAATGACGTGGTTTCATTACATGGCTTCTTTCTCAGAGCATGCCCTGAAGCCCTGCACAGGATTTGATGCTGTGTATCTGGCTCTTCAACAGCTGTCACGCAGCTTAATGCTGAGACCCTGTCAAAAACTTCTATCAACATGATCTGCAAATACGTCTATTTATGCTTAGTATGACTGCTCAATTAAACAAAGGAAAACAATGGTCATTCAAAGCCGGAAAATGTGCCTATAAATACTGGAAAATACACACTTTGTTATTATGACAAAATGAAACAAGTTTTGGTTTTGTGGTTGTTGTTTTTTTTATTTCCACCCGTGTGAAACAATGCTTGGAGAGTTTGAAGGACATCTTAAAATGAGATCTTATATAAAAAAATAAAACGAGAAAAAACACCCCTCTAAAACAGTAGCCATGAAATAGGTCTGAAGACTTCTATTAAAAAAATACAGCATAGATGTACTTCTAAGATCATCTCATGGAATGTAAATGTGATCAATGCTGCTAATAAAAGGAGATTTTGACCACTTAGAAAGAATGAAGGTGACATGATTTGCCACCAGGAGATGAATTTAATAACAGTAGAACATAACAAACTCTGTGAGGGCCCAGTTGGGGAAATGCAAGCAGTTTTTCATTAAAATAGAGAGGGGAAAAAAAAATACAGGGATTAACGAGAAAAGAATTTTCTACTATAAGTGGAGAACACTGTGCTAACAAGTTTAAGAGACAGGAGAGAAACCATTAAAAAAAGTTCCTATGTGTTTGCCAGTGTTCCTTCTGTATTTTTCCAAAGTGCATAGATACTAAGCTCACTAAACAGATATAATATTCTGTTCCCTCCAACAGAACTTAGATAGTTTATAGGATAAACATAATGTACAGCATAAGCAATCAGCACAAAATCTAATGCAAACTTTCAACTGCATTTATTAAATGAAATTCAAGGATAAAGAGCACCTTACCTCTTAACAAAATCAAAGACTATGGCTGCATTAAGTGTTTTGTTGGAATGTTAAAAAGATTATGGATTGACCTTGCATGAAAATATTTGTAGCTATGCAAATTCAAAGACACTCATGCACTATCAGTACACAACAAGCAAACTAGGCAGCCTAAATCTTAAGGACAGGGCAAAATCAGTAAAACTACTGGTAGGGCAATGGTAATGTAACTACAGTTGTGAGGCCAGAACCTTTCTGTCTTGCCTTATTCATTAAATTCTTAGCGGAAAAAAAAAAAAGACAGTTAATGGGAAAATTGTTGGCAATCAACTGGAAATATAGTTTCTTGCAATGATGATGCCTTATTCCACCTCACCCATCTTTTAACATCTATGCCAGAGGGGATATTATAATAGGATAGACTATATATTGCATCAAGAGGAAAAAATGAAGTACAGAAAACAGAACTACTCTCAAGAGGATTAGTCCTCTTTATCCCATAAATACAAGAAATCACCCTCCTTTGTTTCAGTGTACATTGAAAAACCCCCAAATACCTAAAGTTCTAGTTGCAGCTGCTTTGGAATCATAGAATCATCCCTGATGACTTTTTGTTTTGTTTTGTCTTGTCTCTCTTCCAAAAATTTCTGTATAGAAGCCCCAAATGACTAAGGCGGTAACGCACTGGGTGAATTAACAGCATAAGTAACCTATACAAGATTATTCTTCTGTGAGAATGTTTTCTTCAGAAAGAAAACCCCAAACTACCCCCCAAGCACACACATTTGCTTCAATTCTAAACCAAAAAAGCTATTCAGCCAGACTCAGTCAATGAAATAATATCTGCCATATTTTATGTATATGAATATCGAAACTTGGTTCTTCGATGTACACAACCACCTGGTGTTTGAAGAAGTACCTAGCACTCAACCACCACCAGAGCAGGAAGGATCTCTAAGCATCTCTACACCTGTCCCGAGTGCCACAGCGCAGGAAGGTTTCTGGCCTGAGACCAAAGCATTTGTGCACTCAGCACAGTGAGCCCAGTTGTTGGGATCTTGTTTTGGACCTTACTATAGTCATTATAACATAAAACAGCCTAAGCAAGGATCATAATTTTGACTAAATTATCTTCAGAATAAATCTCAGTCATCTTGAGTTACCTGAGATTATGTGTATAAATTCTCTTCAGCAATTTCATTTTTACATGCCGGTTTCTCATTAACAACACGTCTGTCTTCCGAATGAAAAAGGACTAAGGCCTTTCAAATACTATTGTGGAGGGGGACTTCACAGATAAGAGTATGGTTTTGGCTCTGCCAAGGACATCAGACGTGACTATAGAAGTTACTTGGTATTTTTGCTTTAATTTCCTCTCTTCAAAATCCTTAAAAAATTTTATATAGACAAGTGCAAGAACAACTAGGAGAACTTCACCTACTAATGAGATGAGGAGCCATATATAGAAAGAAAACTACAACATTTTTTATTTTAGGATTATTTTATACTCAGCTTACAAATGTTGCCATGCTAACTGTTGACATTACAATTGTCTATGCTGAGTATGTATCACCAATGATTTACTTTAACTTTTTGAGACATAAGCTTAAACACTTCTGCCATTTCTGAAAAAATATCAGAGAAAATACAGTTTGTGCAGATAAGCAGTTGCCATAAATGCATGGTGTTTATGAAAACAGTCAAGTTCCCACTGTTCATTTTAACAAGTATTATTGTGTATATATATTTAAAGGACATGTAAATAAAATATGAATTCTAAAAAAGTAACTGAATAATTTACACTTTGTACCACATTCTTAACACTGCTTTTATATTACTGTTACACAATTTGAAAATATACCACAAAATATTTCTATTGTAGAATAAAAACAAATAAATAAAAAAGTTTAGATTAAACTAGCTAGTTTCCTCGATTCCATTCAGAAAGGGGAGATGTTACACAAATTGGAGCTTAATCTATTGAAAACTTCTGGTGCAGTTAAGCTTAGCTTGTCATTTCGTAACTCAATAAAAGATGCATCTGAAAGGGAATATTGATGCTTCTCACGTAGTGACAGATTTCAGATCATACCGATAACATAAAACCCAGTGTTTATCTGCTCAGTGTTACAATTGAATTCTTAACAGTTTAGAATTGGTTTAGAGTTAAAAATGAGAAAGTGTGCACCTCTGCCCTTACCCCCTTTTGTTTTAAAATGCTTAATTTATAGTGATTGTAATATAACTTTTCAGACATAGTCATATAACTGATGACATATACCATACCTTAAATGTAGAAAGTCCATAAAGTCTTGCAGTGTGAACAGTCACTTGTGAAATATTTGTAATGTTAGATATAAAATCCTCAAGGTATTTACAGGCTTGTTCCAGGTGTGTTGTGTTTATGATGATTTGAACAAGCTACAAGAGACAAAAAATACTTGTAAAAATCCTTTTTTTATCACCTATTGTCATTTGATTTTGTAAATGGTTACTTCTTTCAGCAACAATGCTACTGGAAATGAATTACAGTATTTCAGGTTACCACCTATTACCTGTTAATTTTCAAGTTTGCTTTCAAATACCACTAAGGAGTAAAACTACAGTTTACATACAAATGATGCCATTTTAAAAATGAAGACTGAAGAACCAAATTAGTGAAATAAATACAATTGATATTTTAGAATTAAAAAAGGCAAAATAAAGGAAAATATATTGCCAAAAGCAAATGACTAATTTGAACCATAAAAAGAATTAAAAAAAAAATACTGCTATAAAAAAAAATACAAATAATATCACACTATTGTCTGCAGAATGGTGCATTCTGAAGTTAGCGAATTTCCAAAATAAGGTTGTCAACTCCTCCCCTCCCTGACAATGGTAATAATCTGCTTGTACATTACATAATGTTTTTATAAGCAGGATCTGCATTTGCATTCACAAATTAGACAACATATGTAATGCATAGTAACTGAAATATCAGTATATTATATCTTAGTTCTCACTGCATACTGTTTTAGTGAAAACTAATGTAATGCTTAGAAAAATAAGTTTTCTCTTTTTAACATGTACCTGCAGTGAATGTTCAGCCTGATTCAGTGTCTCACCCTGTCTTACTCTGTCCAATAAACAAATTAAACCAAGAGCCCTGACAAAGAAAAACATGCACAAACCAACTAAAATATTTTAATTGCAATTACTATAGAAAAAGTTTCATGTGTTAGAGTGCACTTGAGATTTTAGATTTCTTGATCTGGTAGGTTTACTCTGAAACTTTACACAGTTCATGTGAGAGATTTGCTGTTCCCCTCTTTTTTTTTTTTTTAATAGAAAGAAAAAGAAATTCAACAATGCACTACTAATTGCTAGACAGGAGCAGAACACATGAACCATGCTCTGTATGCAGCCAAAGAAGTAAGAGTCTTTGGCTTATTTCCTGCAAATCTCGGTTTATCATACAGAAGACAAAATTCTTTCATTGTCATCTCTCTCTCAAAAGGCATCCCTGTGTAAATACACTTCCAACTAGACCAAACACTGTATTGTATTATTTATGTAACAGATATTGATGCTTTTTAATACATCTTTCACCTCTTTAAATTTTCAAATCTTAAAGCAAACACTACTTGTTTTTCTTACACAGAATCTAAATTTTCTTACACAGTGTATCTACATTTACAAGAATAGTTTTAGCACTAATTGTCTTAAAAACAGTTTGGAGTATGTGTTTTAAAACTTACCTCTGTTAAACCTATATGAGGCTTTTTAATTAGGTTCTGTAAACAACAACTTAGAGTTCTTGTAAGCAGCAAATTTGTAGATTTTCTGAGCATATCATCTATTTCTGTTGAGCTGAAAAAAATATTTATTTTTATAACTATGCTGTACATGCCAATACTTTGACAGTAATACTTAATTTTTTTTTTTTTCCCCTGCAAAGGGAACTTTTCACGTTAAGAATTCCCTATGTGCATTTAATTTCTGGTTGCTTCAAGTATTCTGTGTTCTAACACACAGAACGCATCTTTCACTTACCAAATTATCCATTAACTGAATTTCAACATTGCAGCAAAACCTGTTATTTTCAGATTTTGGACATGTTTATTGACACAGCAGTTTGGAAAGAGTAATTTGTGGGGTTTAATGAGTTACCGAGGAGGTCAGCACGCACTCATTAGTACGTGTAAATTATAAACAGTATCAATTAAGAATGCGTAAAAGCAAATCATTTACACCTTTAACAGTGCAGAAGTGGGTGACCAGCCATGAATACCTTCCAGATTTCAGATCTATGAATGTTATTTTATGTAATTAAAACTAAGCTTTTGAATGCCACAAGAGGAAGAGAAATAGGATAATTGTGATGTTTTCCAACAGAAAAAGGTGGGATGGAAGAGGGAATGAACATGCAGTCAGCACATTTTGTTGCACAACAAATCATTGCTAGGGAAACTCAAAGCACTGAGAAGGGAAAAAACATTCAAAGTAATCAGGGATGCTACGCAATTATTTCTGAAATGGTCATTACCAAAGTATATTTCTCAAATCTTACATGCTTTGTTAAATAAATAAAATCTCTAGATTATTCAAACCAATCAATACTGTTAAAAAAAATCCAGTCCTGCAGTGGTTTAGACTGCTTACCATGCCAAGCTACCTTCACCCATAAAGACATACACATATCATATACAATATATATATACACATATGAAGTATATGCTATAGCATTGGGAACTGTATATTACTTACATATAAAGAAGTTTATAAGTAAATTATGAAACAAGCACAGCTAGCAAGTAGACAAGAAAATGTATTTTCAATGTAATATATATTTTTAGGTCACCTGGAAGTTATCGGTTACCTTATGGTCACATTCCTCATTTAAGCTTACCTGCGGTGAAGTGACTCTGAAAACTTAAGGCTTGCATAAATAAATTCCTTCACCTGGATATAAATCTGAGGCACTGACTGAGACATTGGAAGCTTCTTTGGAAAGGATTGCTGTAAAAATAAAAGATAATACAATCTTACACTTGAAACTGAATCTAAAGAAAGCCTGGTATTAAATGCAACAATTAGAAAGCCACTTAACACTGTCAATATTTTAATCTGTCTTAAGCTTTTCTGTTTTTTATCAAATACAGTGATACGTGTTGGGCTGACTTCTACCTCTGTGTAAATAGCTTATAAGCAAAATAGAACTTTATCACTTATTTAACTTACAATAAAGTTTGAAGACTTTATGTAATTTAAGATCCCTCTGTAGAAAGCAATTTACAAACACACATTAAAAAACAGGTCTCAAACCACTTTTAATCTGAATGAACATGATAGATGGAAGTGGGATGAGAGGTTCAAAAATGCAAACTTTTTTTTTTGCAGTGAAAAAAAACAAAACAAAAAAGGCGTGAGATGTTCAATATATCTGGGATTTTCACAGAATCTTGACTATGTTTAGGCATGTATATTTACTATCATATATTTACTTTCGCTCAATGGCTCACCAAACCAAAGCAGTTTGAATTCATTTCAACAATTTGGATTAACATGTGGTAAATACTAGTAGTCTGAAAGAACAAAGTTGTGCTTCTTCAATTTTACAGCTGATATTTTATTTGGGAAGACAAAAAGAAATACATTCAATTAAATCTACACATACCAAATAGACATTGAATACATAATTTTTGAAATCTGCAAAACAATTAATTTTCTGTTTACTCTATGACTAATGAATGAGAAAAGTAACTAACAATTGGTATCATCCCTGGAGAATTCAATTTCTCTAAAAAAAAAAAGCATTAATCAACACCAGATCAACATCTGTGTATTAAAAAAATGCAAGACAAAACAGATTACCTTGATGTTTTCCTAATCATACCTCTTTATTTAAGATTAGGTGGTGTGACAATTATGTGGTGCAAGTGCAAGGCTATTGTGTCATTCAACAGCAAACATTTTTTAAGCAATAAAATTTACTTTAAATATGTGCTCATCTGATTTAAGCAATTAATTTTTACAGATAAAACAAATACTATTACATACAACTATTTCGGATCATTGCAATATTCTATCAGCAGGGCTTAAGTTGCAACTTTCATATATTCAACAATCTAAGAGAAGTAATTCTTTATCCTCCACAGTGCCTGGCCAATACAGGAGGACACAACACTTTCTGTCTGATTATTAGAGTAGGGAGCAATAAAATAAAACAACCCAGAGATACAAGTCACTTGTTTCACTTCTCAGTACAGAAAGGGAGTAAAATTAGATGATATACTCAAACCATAATAGTTTGGTACATTCAATCTAAGCAACTCCTGTGATAAACTTACCTGTAAACTGTGAGGGTGATTCATCCTAACCTACAGTTAAAAAATGAGACACACACTCATGTTCGTCTCATTTTATACTAAGTGGAGAGAAACAGACATTTTCAAAGGTGAAACTCCCCTTAATCCGTAAAAGGCATCAGAGATGCATCAAATGGAATTAGCCCTCTGGGGTGTCTATTCCTCTCTGTCAGCTACACAGGCTCCTTCAACTACTAGCCTGAACTTACACATCTATTTTTTATTATTTTTATTTAAACACTGAAATGTAGATTAAATTAACTGACCCAATAGGACTTCCCAGTGCCTTACAGCCTGCGGCAACAACAGAAAGGTAAAGTGGATGAGCTTATAAACACCAACCAATAGAAGTGATGTTGGAGCTTTTATAAAGTTTCCCTTCCACACAGATTCCTGCTATCTAATAACACATAAGGGATCACTGCAGTCTTTCTTTCAACAAGGATATTTAATGATTCTTCCTCCTCTATCCCACTGCCTAGTTGACAAAACTTTTAGGAACTCCATTATCTTTGAGACTTCTGCCCCTTTGTTAAATTTGGTTCAACTAAACTGCTTCAAAAATTGCCAGGACAGAAGAAAAAACCCCTCAGACTGCCTTATTTCTAATGACATCCTTCTGCTTTACAGAAAGGTTTCAAGGCTCCTTTCAGAGATATATAAAAAAAATGTTATCCCCGCTTTACAGATGAATTAACAGAGAGATGTGAAGTGACTTATCAGCGTCACGCAGCTGGTCAGTGACAGAGTTGGTAACAGAATCCAACCTGATTCCCAGCTTTACTCTCATGCTCACCAGCCCAACATCCACACACACATGCTGATACATCAGAGAGTGAGAGAGGCTAGCAGATAAAATTATTTAGTGCAAGTTAAAAATCTCTGCAATTTATTAGCAAAATATGTCATACTAAATAGTATCCAAGGTACTGTATACTTCCAACACTGTAAGGGATTTCCATTCTGTTTATCTTTTTTTAGAATTATAACGAATTTGATGGAGGAAAGCATCCAGCAAACACTCTAGAGTTGTCTTCAAAATACAGCAAAAAAACCCACCTTTAGCTTTTCATCTTCACTGCAATACTGTATTAATGACATGCAGATGTTACATTTCCCTGGTAAATCCCTGCTGAATCATAGAATTAGAGTATCTTTTTACTTTTGCAGATATCTGTAGTGACGGATTGTGTATAAACCAGCTCCCCTCTACAACAGTTACTCCCACTGTCATGTGCTGCTTAGATTTAGCTCCCCTCTACAGACTCCATCATGAGCCTGTTATTTCTTCATTGGTATTACCAAACCCATATTTGAATAGCAGAACACATTAATCAGCTTTCTGTAAATGAAGTTTGTAGTCAAAGAATGGCTGAGGCTATGAAAGATTATCCTACTGGAATGCTAGTATGGCAGAATTATTTACAGTCCCCTCATGTTTATTTTGCTGCACACGCTCAAACACAAATATTTAATTTTAAGAATTAAATACCAAAGTTGCTATCTCTAACAGATCCCTGTTTTACACGTATTTTTGCAATACTACAGCATATACACTGTGAGTTACTAAACTCAATGAGTTGCAACAAAATTTACATTAATTAAAGACAGACTGTATTATAATTACATAAAGACTGTATCAATTAACATGTATTATTAATTTGTTTACAAAACAATGGGTTTCATTATTCACTCAAACATCAGAGCAAATGACTAAAGCCTTAATTTTCATATTTATTTATGACTGGATAATTACACACAAAGAAGGTGATTTAGCCTCTTAATCTACCTAGCTTTTCAAATTTTAATTACTTTTTAATTATAAAAATCATTACTGTCCCAAGTGTCCTTAATTGGATTTTGGCAAACTTTAATAACATAAAACTTTTCCTTACCTTATCAAGTTCTGGATCTTGAAAAGGAAATTTGCTTATAATTATTTTGTATTCCTCCTCATTTGCTACAGGAATAGGGCTGTAGTTGTCTGCTTCAAAAATATCCCTGGTGAATTAGTTAGTAAAGTGAACAAAATTGAGGACATGTAATTTATTTACAGTATTTTACACTGTTAAAACATGTAAATTAATATAAATTTTACTATCATACTTAGGTGTGCAGGTTTAAAAAGTTATGAGCTGCAATCATTATAATTTCAGACATCCACATTATTTTTAGATGAAAGTACCTTGTATATGTTAACTGTTTATACTCTGTCAAATCACAGAGAAAAAATAGCTGAAAGCATTTTAATATGTATGACATAGCATAATACAGCAAAGGAACTTTAGATAAACTAGTCTATTACAGGGTAAACCATGATGATACTTGTTAATTATGGTAGCCTACATTTTGCCTACACTGAAGCAGATATTCAGTGTCTCACTTTGGTACCACAGCTACGTGTAGTCAATGGAGATGATTCAGAGAACTTCAACTAAGCACGCGGCCACAGCTTTATTTAAGTACCCTCTGGACTTCTCTACTAGTCCATTGACTGTACTAGGAGTCTAGAGAGCATGAGAACTTTAGACACGAGACTTAATTGGTCACTTTCATTTTAAGGTTTTTTGAAATACAATGTAACTTTTTTATGGTAAACAACATCTACACTTTTATATATCACACTCTATCTGCAAACAGGCTTTGGAGTACAGTCCCAAGCTGCTCTGTTCCTGGGTTCGTAATTTACTCAATCAAATAATTCCAAAGAATAGGTGGAAACCAACATGCATTAAAAAAACATGAAGATGTACTGGCAATGTCAGTAGTCTGTCAGGGAGATACACATATCGGCTAACTGTAAACATTCAGACAACCTAAATTAGGAACCTAACGCCCTATTACAATAGCCTAGAGTGATTAGGTTCCTAATGAAGAAAAACAGATGTCTCTCTCCTGCATGTTTGTTGAATAGTGTCTCTTTGGAGACCTTCCTTCTCTCCATTAACTACAGAAACAGTCCTCAATGGCTTTTCTCCTGAATATTAGTTACATGTGATGAATGCCTTAGTCCTACCCAATCTGAAACTCATATACAATATTGAGTTAATAAATTCTTCCAGAATAACAACTCTATTAAAAAACCCAAACACCACCTTTGTATAGTATCTATTGTTTTTTTTCTTAAATACAATTATTTTGAAATACTAACCTGAACAATCCAGACCACTTTTTAAGAAGTGTTTCATTGTACTGGTCTCTAATCTCAAATAAAAGATCAAATAGTCGATTCACAGGAAAACCATAACCCTAAAGGTATAACAATTAACAGAGTGGATAATTCAAGAACACACTCAATTCCTATCATAACACTTCAGGACTCTTAGACAAGACTTAGTATTCAATCTTGTCTTTTCTATAAAACAAGTTATAGTACTTTAAACACACCACTACAATTAGAAGATTATATATGAAAATCTTACCAAATACTTAATGCTATGCTTTCAGTTTTCAAGCTGAAATTTGTCTTATTTCTCTATAACATTTTAACTTGCTATTTATACATACAACTAATCTTTCTTATCAGTCTGTAAACACTGCAAGAATACTTGTCAACGATGTTCATTTGGTCTTCCAGCTAGAGAGCTAAGGATAACAAGAATGCTATTCTTGCTTAAGATCTGAAGTAAAGCATTTACAGAAGACAGAACCATTCACAAATTACAAAGCTAACATTAATTTTGCATAGATATGAATAACTGGATGCTATCTGGATAGCCCAGAATGCATACCTTAAGTTGGTAATACTGAAAAAGAGGAACCAAGGCAAGAAATACATATTTAAAAAATATTATAGTGTAATTTTGTTCTTGATGCATATATATGACATCAGGGAAATCCAAAGCATCACGCTTACTCACCTAAAGGAAAAATTTGACTCTAGGAATTTCAGTTAAATTACTAATATAATACATACCTGCAAAGTATCGGCAAATACTACAATGAGATTCTTCAGTTCCAGAACAAGGTCGGGATCACTGCAATATGACTGAAAGCAAGAAATTTTGGTTTTGTTAAAAAGATTTAAAATATGGGACATATGTTTTCAAAGAATATTAGCACAGGAGGTTAAACTCTCCACCCTTATCCCTTTACCTGACTGCCTTAGTAAAAAAACAACTGACTTATTTGTCTTCACTTAGTCCAGCTACATAAAAGTATTTGTTAATTTTTTATATGAATCATCAGTAGTATAAAAGCTCAGAAAAAGTAAACTAAAATGAGATTCAATAAACATCAGCATGCTGCACTGAGATTCAAAATCGGCAAATTGCATTTATTTCAGTGGAACATAAGCACACATCAAACTTCTTTGCTAAATCAACATCAGAGAGGTTTCCACAGGACGTTCTTTTGAACACTAAGCCTGGGTCTAACTAGTGCTAACTGTGTCACCTCAGACAGTTTCCCAGATGTATGGTGAAAACACTATAAAATACCTCCTAAAAAAGTTCAAATTAGAAATTTGATGGCAAAAAGTCAAGACATTATTTCCTCTACTAAATGACTGAAATTTGATTTTCAGAGGTGTGGAGTCATACAACTAAGGCTTTCACCTGAGCTTCACTATTTGCAATGCTAAATAAAGTAAAAAATATTTATATTAAAATAATTTAAAGCAATATGCTTGTTTCACCTTTCTTTAATGTTTGCTTGTAGCATACTTTAATAAAGTAAGGGTTTGTTTTATAGTACCTCATAAGACAACATACACTTATCTAAACATTAGTGTGTACTAGGGATGATGTTAGAAAGAGATTGTGATAGAATTGGTTTTGATGGGGGTTATCCATTTTGAGAAGAAATAGTGATCAACAACATGATAAGACATTGAAGAGTTCTTTAGAGATTACATTACTTTTACCCCTTCAATTACCATATTCTTACATAGGTGTATCAATCCATATGCAGCAAATTAACTTGCAAAGTATTTAGCTTAAAAAATGCTGAATATATCTCAATTTATCCCAATCCTCTAAAATTAAAAAGTATGAGAACATCTCACGCATCACTGATCAGTAAAGGTCCTATGATAAAACTACAGTTGCAATCTGAACTTTTTTCCCATTTTTCCGCAGTAGGTATGAAATGTAAAATATTCCTCAAATTAAAGATAATTTGTAATATAAGTAACATTGCATAGAGGAACTGCTTTTAGCAAACATTAAAAAGAGAGAGATAAAACTCTTCTATTTTTTTTCCAACAGTAAAAGTTATATCAATAGTAAACTCTGAAGCAATTTACTACCAGTCAGTCTGAGTGAACAATGATATTCTATTGGTTTTCACAGAGGAATAAGAAATAGCATGCAGCCATTCAGCATCATTGGAGCTAAGGTAGAAATGTAACTTTATGAGACACCCTTTGAATGTACTGAAGATTTTTCTAATACCTTTACTTCAACATAAATGTATTACTACTGTAGCATTGAAGAGATAGCTCCAAGGGTTTTGCTGGTGGAGTTTATTTTGGAAACACAGCATTTGGAATGATAATTAGGAACTATTTCCTGGTGGTGCTTTCAGTGCTGAACTATTCAAACTGATCTAATGAAGAGGTCAGTTGAGACTAATGAGGAAGGATTGCAATAATAACAGCAGATTAACTCTGCATATTCTAAACTGCTGGACTAAGAGAAGGTTTGGAAGACCCAGTGAGTTGTAAATCAGTGGAGGATTATGCAAATAGCCCATGGCTGCAGATCACAGCCTGATACTGTTGGAAAAAACAAAAGCTTGACAGGCTCCCTCCCAAATCTGAGCAATTTTTAATCACAAGGAAAAGAAAACATGAGAGAGGTGTAATTATTCACTTTGTTACTATCCCAGCTTTAACTATACAGAGCTCTGAAGTAAGAGGACTTAAACTGCAATACTGGTAAGACTTCTCACTTACTGAATGTGTTCTAAGAACAGCAATGATCCTGGAAAGGGCCATGTTCCAGAGTTCATCGGTGTATGTTCTAGTTACCAATCCTTGGGTTACATGTAAAATGTGGTCTTCTACTACAAAGAAACTAAATCAAAATAATGCTTAAATTATTAAGTTGTTGCAGAATCTTGCAGAAGAAAGTTTTTGGACAATGGGAGAACAGAGGGTGAATTAAGACTCAATCTAGTAAAACTGAAATAAATCTTCATTTAGAAAACTTACCCTACAATTTGACTGAAGTATCTTCTATAGCCTTCTACTGTTTCATGCTTTCAGTGAAAAAGAAAACAAGTTTAGGAATAGAAATACCACTAAGTATCAGGTACAACCCAAGCCAATGCAAAACCAAAAGTATTCGTTACCATGCTTGACTGCGGCTGCAGAACTAATCTTGCTTGTTTCCTTCTTTGTTTTCTGTAGTAATTTTCAAATATTTCTCCATCACCCTAAAACAAGACAAAAGTAGTTAAAATAAGAACATTGTTGCAGTATGAAAAAGGCATTTCTTAAATTAAAGGCAGAATTCTCTTAAACTAAGGCACATATTTCACCTTTATTCCACACAAAGACCTCCAGCTGACACCAACAAAGTTTTGCATGTATGAAATATGCAAAAATGATCTTTTTCTAAGTAGCCTACAGAATGTACTGTAAATAAAAATTTTGCTCATATGCTTACATTTTGTCAAACAATATTATGCATTTAAAGCAATATTTATGTTTTTAAACTGCAGCTTTCAGAGTATATTAATATTTATAGACAAGGCATAGTATCTATTACTCTATAATTGAAACTCATTGTCTCCTAAAATGTTTCTCTAGGTTATGCAAGAGACTAACTGCATTGTAAAGTTAAGTTACAAAAATGTTTTTGTGGATACAGTATACATCTGAACACTGCCTGCATTCGCTTTGCCCGAGGGAAAAAAAACCCCACATAAGATTTATTTAATATTTGCTTATTCTCTTTGCAATTGGTAACTATAAGGACTGTGGATTTTTATTTTTCTCCTATCATGGTCCTCAAAAACACAATACTCTCTGTGCCTAATGATTATATTGTGAGGAATTCTAGTGACATCCTACCCATCTCATTAAGACGACCATTCAGTAGAAACCATCTGTCCATTTGAAATCGGTGCTACATTGACTCATCTACCTACTGAACACAATGTAATTTGCATGCAAGCAGAATAAAGCAGCTTAGCATTTTTAAGGTTGTTTTTACTTCATGAACCTATTGTTAGGCCAGTGCTATTTAGAATTCCATTACTTGGCCTTCCAAAAATCTTCAAATCAAATTATTACAGAGATTGTATATTACTAAGCCAGCATTACTTACCTACCTTCTTTATAAGATAGAACAAAGAAAGTTTAAATTTAGTATTTTAAGTTCATAAGGAATATTTCATCATATTTAGAAATGCTGCTAACCTAACAAAACCTAAAAGTAAAAAAGAGATTTGGCTTAAAAACAAACAAAAAACCCCACTTGAAACTAAGATGCAAATTTACTAGAACACTTTCTGTTGCAGCAGAACTTTACACGGTGTGCATAATTCATACTAACACATACTTATCAGACGTACTAACCATTCACCTGCAGCCCAAATATTCAATGCAGTTTTCAGATGTATAAAGCCACTGTTGAATTCTACTTCCGATGCCAAATCTCTACTCAGTCCTGACACAAGCTTCTCAAGTGAAAAAGAGTAGCTGTTTTTCCTCAAATGCACACCAAAAATGGAGATGTAAAATATCTCATGATTATTTATAGACTGTGCTATCCTATGCAATCAAGATCAGCAATTCAGGCACAGCAACTATTTTAAATGGATATTCTAAAGCAATCAGCAGCATACAGCAACAGCCCTGATGATTCACTCACTGAATAAGCAAAGGCAAGATAAAATATACTGAAGCAATGCATATGTTTTGCACAGCTTCCAAAAATTCACGGGTTTATATCAATAGAAATAATAAATCAGTTCACATTGGGTTATAAATTCTAGGAATATTGCTCATATATCAAGTGTTGTTTCACACCAGTTACATTTATTTTATATTGCTATACATTGCATTTAGTTAAAAGGTAACACTATGTGCCAAAGGGATCAAGGGTGTTTTCAGCAGATTTTAAATATACAGCGTGTCACATAATATATGGGCTAAAAAAAAAAAAGGTCTTTATATATATTGCCCAGAAGTTTCTAGTCTAAAGAAAGGTTACTTGTCAATAAATACAGTCTATGCTTGTATCTTGCAATCATCAGGTTGCAATCACAAGCTATGTGGTATGCTGAGGTTTGTAAAATCCTGCTTTCTCCTTCAATATGAAGAAGCAGAGCAGAGAACTTTTGTCCTGTGTAAAACCAGAATATTTTCTACAACTTTGTAGCAGAGAGAGAATTCACTAAGAAGGTCACATTTGCTGTGAGTTAAGTCCTTGATATACAAATGTAATGAATAGCCACCTGGTATCACCTCCCCTCCTTTCCTGTTGTCATGAAGTTCTCTAAACTCCAAAAGAGATGGTTTACAACAGGAGGTAAACAAGGAGGACTCCAAGAAGTGGTTAATGCACAACTCTTGATAATGCTACCATGGCTTATTAATTAGATGATGTTGGCAGGAAAGACAGAAGCCCTATTCTGAAGGCATCAGCAACCCTTTTTTTTAAGGGGCTAAGGGCCTTTGGTATCAGAGAGCACTCCAAGTGGTTTTTTGTCTCCATTAAATTTGGAAGCTGGCAAACTTTCTGTGCAAACCCAAAGAGCATATCCTTCGATCAAGGATCCAACATCAGGATCCTTGTCAAAGTGAAAAACATAATCACATATTACTTTTAAATGTCATCTATGAATTTTACTTCCTGTTCTTTTATTACACTAAAGGAAGAATAAGCCGATGTTGTCACCTGGTGTATTTAACTATAAATTTTTTTATTATTTTTCAATGTTATTTCACACTTACTTCCTCTGTAAAAAGAAATGGTCCACTCTTTTTTAATAGTTCTGGCAGCCTGTCTTTCTGTCCCTCCTGTTCTTTTCATTGAGAGAAATAATTACTGATGTAATTACTGATGCTTTTGTTTGGATTCCTTCTTCAAAAAAAGTAACAGTGAAATAACACTTTGAACGTTATTTCAAGATATAAGCTTCTACGTTATACAGCTGCAAGTGTTCTACAGAAAGAAGATAACCCAGCCTGAATGCCTGAAGCCAGGTCCAGCTGAGATTGTAGGATTAGCAATACTTAAAAGCAGATCATCTATACACCCCTGATACTTGTATAAGTAATCTGACTTCAAAAGTAACTGAAACATAGGAAAGGTCAGAAAATAATAAATAATTTGTTACCAAGTTTCCGCCAAATTTTTTTTTGTCCTTGTTAGCTTGTGCTAACTCTTTTACCGCAGCTAAAATGGGCTATTGTGTCTCTGCCACTGAATCCTATCTAATCTGCCTGAGCACAGTCTGTCACAATCCTCAGTTTTTGCTTGCTATTTTGCTCTACTATTCCGATTTCCATGATTCAGACTGAATATTCCTGTTTTGTAATATTGATCATATCCTCCCAAACATTTGGGTAGCACGGAACACTTCGGGGAACTGCACAAGTGCTGATACCACTATTGAAGCAGACATGCATATTTTACATATATTCTTAAGAATACTTACGTAGTTAATGTCTTGCTGTGTGTGCTCTAATATGCACATAAAATAAAACATGAGGCTGTGCTCTTAGTATCCATATTCTACCCATCTCAGCTGGTTCATCCAGAACTACCACTACTAGAAGCAATATGCTTCTAGTATGAAAATTTGAAAATGAACATTCAACTTTAGAAAGTAAAATACCTTTTGAAGTCACCTTAATACATACCAAAACTGAGTAGATGTGCAAACACCTATAGACAGGAGAAAAGTCTACAAGATCTTGAGCAGTTAAAACCTGAAGAAGAAAAGGAAAAAGAAAAGTATATAAAGCATAAAAAAGCATATAATCTGCAAAATGTAATACATTACCAGCAGAACTTTTCCAGTTAATAAACACTTCCTAAGACACCTTACTAGTAAGGAATTATCCTTTTCTTTTAAAATCTCTTTTAGTGCCCTTAATTTTACAACTGCTCAACTTGATTTCTTAAAAATTTAGAGATTTAAGGGAGAATTAGTAGTTTAGTAGAGTTTGAAGTTAGTAGGCTAATGAATCTGAAGTTCAGATGAATATGGAAATACAATGGGGTTGAATACAAAAGCATGACCAAATTGGGACCAGCAAAAGTCAACTCTGTTAACAGGTTTTATCACTACTAAAACTAGCATTTTCACAGAAAGTGGTAGAAGCAGTTTGCTTTAATGACTAGAAGAGCGACTGCATCAGTCTTTTTCCCAGAAATTTCAGGACCCAAAAATGGATAGGTTCTATTACAAAAGAGTAAATTAATTGCTCAACTCTCCCCTGTCCTTGTATTACAGAACTAGATTTTATTTGTGTTACAATACCAGGCTCCTTTCACTGTGTTTTAAGAGCATCAGATTTTAAAGGTCTAAATACTTGCGGTTTTATTCTATTTATGAATATTGAGTATTTGGTAGCTGAAAGAGTTCTAACACAAGCTGAAGTCCTCAGCACAGAAATGCTGGCTTTAGCAATAGCAGAATATTCCAGCAGGCAACATATACAGTACCTGCCCACTGTAAATGATAATGTAAATTGCAACTGAATTGCAGAATAATTACAAGTTCTATCCAATTGAATGTTCCCAAACATGACGCTAAAGCTAGGATTAATACAACAAATATTTTGGCACCATTTTTCCCCCTAAAATGCTGATCTGGACTGGTGTCCCCTGAAGGTGTTCTCTGGTCCTTTCTAACTAATGCTGACAATCTACAGACAGTGTATTGCAAGTTTTGTTCAATAAATCTACAAAATTCACTTTAAATAAGACGTACTGATTTAGTATAAAGTTACCTCTTCTTCGTGTTCATCGTCTTCTTCAAATGTTCGCTTCAATGTAATTTCATTCTTGGATTCCAAAATTCTGCTTCTACCTACATGCATATTCCGACCATAGTTTATGTTATTCTGCTTCTGAAGAGAGGTACTAAAGGTTTTCTGCTGCTGTGCCTGGTTTAAAAGCAGTAGCAATAAAGAGGGATGTAATGCAACCTTCATCACTGATGAGTATATGCTACATCATGAAAAACAGGTTGTGTTACAGAACACACGTCAGTATAACCGCAAAATGTATGTTCTCAGCCTACACCAATGATTTGGTCCTTAATCGATTTGGGATGATAAGTTAGTTCAATGGCTGATTTCTGCATATATTTCCCTATTCCCCAGAATGCAATTTTAAAGGCAGAAAAAGTTAAAACAGTAATCCGTACTTTTCCTGATCATAAACTGCAGAGAATCAACATTTAAAGAAACTACAGTTATCACAGCGTTTCCAGCTATTTGTTTGCTGTGTTCGGTTAAGCCTTAGTGAGCAGTCAGTTGGAGAAGCCAAATGCACTATCATGTCCTTACTATTGAAAGAAACGCAACAAGGTAGCACAGTATAATCTTGCAATTAAGTTTCATTTATAATAATCAATGCAGCATTTTACAAGAACCTTAGATGACAAAATGGCAACCCAACCTGAACTCTGTCCAACAAAAAGTCAAATTAAAACTTTACTTGCTCTCCAAATAAATTCTAAAAGCATTAACTGCTTTAAAGCTTGCCCAGTTACCAGTGCTTTGAAGTGGCAGGTTATTTTGTGATGGAAGAGGCAAAGTCTCCATCTGTCCCAATCTCATCCTAGTTCTCACCTCAGTCTTCTGTCCTCTGCCCTCTGTAGTGTGCCCTCTCTGGAGGGTAATATGCCAATATCCTGCCCTGTATTAGTAGTACTGTAGAAAGAACTAGGCAGTTACCTCAACATTTCTTTTAGTCTTACTCATCCTTGCCGGCTGGGCAGATGGGCTGCTCTTTGTTTTCGTGTAGTAGCTGCTCAGTTACAGACTGTCTAGGAGTTTACTACTCAAAGTATTTCACAATTCTTTGCAACTTGATATATACAGCATTTCTCTTTCCTTCCCCAGGGAGGAAACTCCTTCTTGTGTAGGACACAGATACAAATTTGGAAGGAAAGTTTGATGCTAATGAGGTGTCACGCTGCTGCTTCCTGTGTTAGCCAGGGACTGCTAGAACTGACAACTTCATGTCCAGGAGAAGAAACTACCCAAGATGTTAGCAAGCATTTCACAGCTCTCCATCTGTACTCAAAGGTCTATGTGATGACTATAATCCTTAGACAAATCTGGTAACAGGACTGAAGTAATCCTGTTAGGTCAGCTTACCTGCTTCATGGCAGTTTCCCCAATTCTGTCAGAATGCTTTCGAATACTCTCTAAGAAATCCTTGAGATCTGACATGGATATTTCTTTTATTTCTTCACGCAGTTTTGGAAGATTCTCTATCATTATCTGGCAAAAACGGTATTGGCTAACTCTAGGAAGATACAGATTTTCTAGCTGTTCCATTGTTTTTAAAGCAGAATAGTATCTACAAAGAGATTAAAATCAAATTATGTAGTTTCTTATCAAATTTTAATAAAATACTTCATCAAATATATCAATATCATACACGCAATCAATATATATCTAATTAAATTACTCTGTATCTATGTAGAAAAATTAAGACACAAAAGGTCATCTATATAAAGCTTTAGTTTGGCAAAAACAGTGAACTGTCAGAGTGACTCAGTCAAGAAAGAATTTTAAATAGGCTCCTATGATATTAGCTGTTCTGACCAATAGATTGCTAACACCACATGGAGCATCTTGCAGAACAGAGACACTAGAGTTACCTTCCCTTGTAGATTTAATTTATTAGGGTTTTTCATGAATTCTTTTGTCTGAAACACGAAGTGCCAATCACCCAACATTGCAGTATACGCCCTAATGAAAAAAAAATCTTGGAAAAGTGTGCCTATATGCATCCTCCTTCTTTAGGTATATGTGAACATATACACACGTCCACAGCCACCCTCTTTCCAGCTAAGGATGGTGGAAAAGACATGTATACACTTATCTCAACCAATATTTTTTCCAGCAATATATCACGTTCTGCTGTAAACCACAAATCTATTTACTCTTCTGACTAAATACAGTAAATCCCACCAAGAAAACAACTACTTTGAACAAGCATTAAGGTCAGAAGCTTTTAAAAAAATCAGAACAACAAAGACGCCATAATTTTCTCTATTCTTCCGTGTTCTGTTAGCCTACAGACTATTTGTAGCAGAAATATGGAAGATACAGTCTAAGACGGGGAAAAACAAAACACCAAGAAATACTTCCTCTCAAGTCCATACACCATGCAGATGCTGTACAGTACATTTGTAACTATGTTGTGAAATTTTACATAAGGGACAATGAGTTTGAAGAAATACTCAAAATTCAGCATAGAAAGTGATTTAACTGCAAAATAAATAAATAACTAGAAACCAAAGAAAGACTCAAACAATTTTGACAACAGAAAGCTACCAAATACTGAGACATCAACTCTATCTGTTCCTACAGTTATTTACCTGTCTTCACTCTCAGTTCTCTCATAGATCACAGGGGTTGTGGGGCCAAGACTTACTTGCTAAAACCATTCATCAACTCCATGTCTGCAGCATATAAGTAAAATTCTGTCAGTTTCAGTTGATTTAGGGAAACATTTAAAGAAGGAAATTTTAATTGAGGGAAATTGGTTCTCCATGCTTCCTCTCATAATCAGTAGAGAGATGAATACCACAAGGAGGTGATTCAGAGCTGTCAGGCTTCTATATGCCTGTTCCTGAAGTCAACACTTTTGGAAAAATGCCTATTGTAACAGAATAAGGTGAATCTGTGCCTTCTAGCTTGGTCTTGAGTGGGAAAAGTAGAAAAACTGAGATCAGACTGAGTTACCTTGCTGTTAGTTCCAACCCTTTCTTTCCACAAATACAGTGTGATATCCTTAACCCATTTTTAGCTTTTCGTATTATAACCTTAGTTCCTTTTTCCTTCCTGAAAGTCCTACGCAATCAGTATTGGAACATTACCAAATCATTTTGAAATTAAAGAGCTGAATATGAGCAAAGTCCCTTCAAATGTTCAAGAAAACCTGGAAAAGTGTCCTTTCCAGTTCTTTTGCTTCTGGATATTACTTTGTAGATAGGAGTGAGTAAACACTTTCAAACTGAAATATAATTCAAGCTGCTAGCTGTAGACAAGCAATAATAAATCATTAATACTTCAGTCGCAACTTCCTGTTCCATTCTGAAATAAACACATTGTTTTGAATTTTCTCAATCAAGACATGTCTAAGCTAACAGTTCGGCATAGCTGGAGGATGGGAAAAAATCTTCTCTATTATACCAGAACACAACTGCTTTCAGGAGACTGCAAATAAAGAGGTTTCAAGTGTAAATTAGGAGCTTTTGTTTATTATATACTTGGTTTATATAAAATATACATAAGGCAACAGGAATGCTGCAGATAAGAAGGCGTCTGGGGGGTTTATGTGTGTGGTTTTTGTTTTTTTTAAATAGTAAATGACCAAGAGTGCCACATGGTGAGACTTCTGGGGAATAAAACCATAATAGCATCAAAATCGTATAAAAGGTTTTTATTTAAATTATATGGATCAGCTTATCAGAACACTGTTAGTTCATCTGGAAGGTTTTTGACTGCTGTCTCTAAGACCAGAATTAACATAATCCATTTTAAATCTATTCGAGAGTCCCTTACTAATTATATACATATACGGAGCTCAGCACCTTGCCCTTTTAACATCTGTTCTGATAAAGACTGAAGTCTTATTAATTTGAAGGTCATCTGCAGGTCAGGATTTAAACTAAGAAGTGTTGCATATAATTTCATGGAATGATGTATTTGTATATTTTGCTTTAAAAACATTCCATAGATTTAACTCAATGCTGAAGATTTTGACAGTATTATTAGCTCCTATCATATATTATCAATACATGTAAAGGTAAAGATTGCCCATTTGACTATAAATGAGTTGAAGTATCTTCAATGTTATTTTTTTCATATAAATATAGCAGTCTTCCGTCTATTCTTCTGAGCTAATCTTGTAAGAATATGTTTCCTAATGCAAAATTTATAATGTAAGCTTTGAAACTGAAGACACAAGTTTGAAACACCAGAGGTCATGTGATAAGACTGTCCAGAACTGATCCATGTTGTCATCAGAACCAGAAAACTTTAAGATGAATTTTACTAACAAGTCCAAACTATAAAAAAGGAAACTTCTCAAGCCAGCAAGAAGCAGGACTGGAAAAAACAAATGAACAAAAACAACAAAAAAAACCCAGAAGATTAATATTAGCATTTTGCATCACCTTATTCTAAAATTGAGCTCGCATTTTACAAACTGTCCAAGTCCCAGGCACCGAGTAGTCAGGTCTGTATTAGAATTTGAAACATCACCACACAAAAAATCCAAATGAAAAAGAAAGTGATCATTACTATAGTGTACACAACTATTAAGTTATGCTTTAAATGACAAAGACAACTTCTAAGATTTTTAGCAGAGGACAGTCACTCAGAGGCAGCTAAGAGAAATACCATAACTTACTAAAAAAGCCCCATCAAGTTAAACTAGAACAGTCAAGAAGCTACACAGGACAGGAGCAAGAGGAACTCAAAGGCTGTGAATTTTACTGAGAATAATGCATTTGTATGTAAGCCTTTTGAGTAAAGAAACGTATAGGCACATCTTTGCTGAAAAAACACGAGGAGAGACAATAACTTTAAAATTCTCATTTTATTTTAATTAAGGAAACAAACTTAATTTACAAAGAAAAAAATAGTGTTCTTCTCCAACTTTTGTACTTCCCTCAGAGGCAAATACTGCATACTCCTGCTTACTACATTTCCGTTAAGTAAATATGAAAAATCTTTTGTACTCTACCAAACAAATTTAAGGGAGTTCATTGGAATTTTTCAATAATACTATGGAAAAGTCACATTCACAGAGATCTTGAAGATGATATATTGAAACTGCAATTGAAAACCTTTCGCCACAGAAACAACTATTTATTTATTTATTTTGTTTTTTCAATCTAGTTGCCTTAACAATTCTAAGCGTAATTTTTAAAATTCTCCAGCATACCAATTTTATCAGTTGCCCCAAAGGACCGTGAATTGAGATCAAGACACTACAAACTCTGAAATTTCTGTAAAGTGAGTCAAAAGCTCACTATTTCTGAAAACCACATTAAAGAGTTGCTGTGTGAAAAAAACAAGATCTGTGGAATACCTTTTTCATCCATAATGATGTGATAGGAGATTTTTTTTTAAAATGTAAATTATCGAACAAATAGGGTTGTGAGAACAGTGAGAAAGAAATCAGCTGACAGTTCAGTATCAAATATATATTTTGATGGGTTTTTTTGCCAGACCAATGATACCTCTGGGAAATATTAATTTGCAGTTGGTAAAATCCAGTGCTTCATTTTGACATGGTTCCAAAACCATGCTGAAAACCAAAATTAAATCACCATCAGTTTTATCTGTTCCGATATCTTTCCATATAGACATGGGTAGAACCAAATTATATAAATTATGAAGTTTTCCTATTTGCATCCTTTATGTCTTAAAGTTTATTTGAATGCTTGGAAGGTTTACGCAGAGAAAGGTTGCACGACTGTCTCCATGAGACTTAGTAACCTAAATAACTAATCAACTCTGGCTTTTTTCACAGTTCAGAAGAAAGCTTATAGTAAGGTCACAAAACAAATACAAGTCTTTCATGGCAAAAAGCTCACTCTGAAAGACCACACTTTCTTTAGTCCTTCTCACAGGAGATTTGAGAAGATTCACCAACAATCTTAGCAGATTGATTTATTTAGTTATTTTCATTTTATGGTAGGTTTGGGTTTGTGGGGTTTTTGTTAAATACTTATTGCGTAAAAAGACTTGCAAAAACACCAGTTCTAACAATTCCCAATTAGAATACAATCTCTTGAAGCAGCTGGGAACTTTCTCCAGAGACACACATCAAAATCCAAACGCGCAGATCATGGTAACACAGCTGTATAAAACACGTGATGATCTTAGCTCCAACTTAAAATTAAAGATCTAGGTAGTTCAGTCTAAATGCAGACCCCCGCTAGGTGTTTTGGAAAGCAGTGGAGAAACCACACCTCTCCCTTCTGCTTCCTCAGCTAAGACTTTATACCCTCCAAAACTCTTTCCAGCCAAGTGTGTCTGTTTAGAGTAGATTCTGTGGTTACTTCCTCTCACAACTATAGTTCTTGTCAACTTGTGTTATGCATGGCTCAGGAGACAGATAAATAAGATGCAGAGCCTTTCACCTCTAGGTCATCAGTTCAAACATAGCCCATGTTCATAGGGACCAAAAGTTGCTATCAATAGATGGCTTTTTTGACTCCTCAGTAAGCCTTCATTCTATCTGCAAAAACCATATGTATTCCAGATCCAAAATCCTGCATTACCTTAAAAGGCATCTGCCATGCAGAAAAGGAAATGGAATTCCAATTGTTATCCTAAAACAACTGTCCCCCCAAAATACAGAATATCCACACTTTCTTCTTCCCTTCCTTTAAACATCAGAAACGCTCGTTTTATTCATGGTGCAAGACTGTAAGACAATGCAATAATGAAAATATATTCTAAAAGGCTGCAAGCAGAGAAAGTCAAAAGAAAAGAGGTCTTTTTTTAAAGACCAATGAAAGCTTTGCTGCATTAACAAACCTCAGTGAAGGTTTATGAGAAAAATTACCTTTGTCTAAAATAAACATTTGTCATTATTTTGTTAAGACAAGGATTGTGAACACTGCTCTCTCTGACACTTCCAGGAAAGCTTCACAGCAAAACTTAGGTAGGTTAGTTTTGAAATTCCTCATATCTGCACACATCAGCTATCAGGTCTGTGCACTGATGCTATGGATGTCCTTGCTACTGCTCAATCACTTAGTGATAAAGGCCAAGATACACTCATTCTTTGGATGTGTTGCCTGCTCAGCCACAAGCAAATTACCATTTGAATTAACTGCCAGTTCCATGGGATAGCCACCTCTAGGCTGTATTATAGGGAATTGTAAGTCACAGGCAAAGTAGTAACTGTAGTGTAGCTAATGAAAGAGATATCTGAGCTGGAGCAGTAGCCTGCAGCGGAGTCTAAACCTTCTGCACTCCATGTGATTTCAAGGTATGGTACATCAAAGCTACGGCATCTCCCCCCTCCCTTAGATCTTTTTATGGTATGACAATGACATGTCCAAACCCCTCAATTCAGTACATCGTCTTTTGACTTTTAAGATTTCCTGTCTGGCAACTCCTTCCACAGGAAAATTATCAGATCTGAATCTCTTAAATAAATAGAAATTTAATTTTAAAGAGTTCTGATGACTTCTCAGAAAGCACATCAACCATCAGTAGACTCTACAAAACTACTAGTGAACATGGAGTCAAAAAGCTAAAAGCCATCTGCAATTTTATCTCACCTAAGTGATCCCTCCATGATGACATTAGGAACTATAACTTCCCTTGCAATTCTAAAACCAGGATGCTGCTTGTCTTGCTTGACAGAGCAAGGGGATGGCAGAATGCAAAAGGTAGCACACTCTACAGATCACCTTGCAGAAGGAAGCAGGAAGTGGTGTGATTCAGACAGCACACCCTGCAGTCCGCTTCTGACCACAGTAGCAAGGGCAGTGGACTGTTTACATTTTTCTGCTAAGCTACTCCAAGAGCACTCCAACAACACACTGCTAGCTATGCTAAGCAGACGTCAAACCAGTGTCCTGTTCAGAGGAAACAGTGTACAGTAAAGCTGATAAGATCTACCACACTGGTTCACATCTAGCAAGTTTTGATTGTAGTAAGAGAGAGCATAGTGCTGTAGCTATCAGGCCAATCTTAAAGCTCTTATATTTCTGCAGAAGACCTCCCAGACAGCATGTGTGCACAGGTATCATGTAGCACATACACCACTGTCAAAGATGCATTAGATTTGCTGCAATGCTGATCTGATGCGTACAATAGATATGATGCATTTTGGACATGTCTCCACACTGGCTTTAGAGCTGATTTACTCATACACAGTGGCCATTGCTGAGGATTTTCAGATGTCCAGCAGTGTTGGCTATCCAGACAAACAGTCCAAAAGTAAAGCTAGATTATGCAGTAGCCCTGTAGACTCCTGACCACGTGTAGCTAGTTCCAAATGGAGACAGTCAGGTCCAGACAAACTTGTTTAGCTGGAGCTCGCTGTAGTGATGCCAGGTGCACAAAGACGCAATGACAATGATCATGAATCCAGCAAGGGAAGACACAGAGCAACTGGCGTGACTGAGGCTGTATAAAAAGCAGGTAGGGATGAAGGTGGCAATGATGCTGTAGAAATCATGAAGAAAACAGCAGCAGTAGTATTCCTGGAGTGGGTGTGCATGAGGTGCAAGGCAGCAGCATCAGCCCCAGTGGGACAAGATGACAGCTACATGGAGGTAGGAATAGCCAAGCTGCCACAGAGAGAACTGGGGATACTGGGGTTACAGCAACAATGAGTGGCTCTCTGAGAAGGTTGAAAGTGAAGACACAACACAGGAAGGAGCAACTGGTCACATACCAGTTAGAAACCATAATTCTAGAAATTTATTTTTAATTATGGTTTTAATTTTTTTTAACAAGTCAATTTGTCACAGAGCAGAGGAAAAGCAAACCACAATACATTTTCTGCACTTCATTCTCACAGTCCCATGTACACAAAAGATTAGCATAGAGATACCAGAGAGGTCTGAAGAAAGGTATGTGGACTGAAATGTCATTTTTTCTTGGATTATGAATTTGATTTAAATACATCATGTTAGATTTATAATATATAAATGTACTCTGAAAGATCTTTACTCCCTAAGGATCTTATTATTCTTGCTTCTTAAACTGTTTTAAGTATTAAAAAAATAATACACTTGACATTTTATAATCATAGTTTCACTGCATGTCACACTCATTTAAGTAAACATTTTTTTCATGGCAATCACTAAACTCCTAGAAGTCTTTCTATTTAATGTAACATTTGTTCACTTGCAGTGACATTCTTGAAACACAGACAAGGTATTATGAAGAGAAGACTACATGTACCAAGCTGCAGGACTTAGAATACTTACTTGTCTACATTAGTGTTTGCTATTCTATCAGTTTACTTTCAAATGTTGTATTTTACACATAGAAGTAAGTTCACTCACCTTTTTACATTCATCTGTTCTTTCAGTTTGCTGTACATTTCCAGCACTGCATAAAAACAAGCAGATTAACCCATGGATCTTATTCTGGCTTTAGTTAGTAAAAGAGGAAAATATATACTGTAAATGGCAAAATAATCCATAGAAAAGGATATGCTATATTTAGCTTATTTAATTCCAACTGTAGCATAAAAGTAATAAAACTAGCAAAAAATATATCTAGAATGCAGTTAAGAAAAAAAAAAACCTGAATTCTTAACAGCTTTTAAATGAAAAAATTAAAAATAAGCGAAACAGTAGACACTATAAATATCAAGCATATTCATTCACTTACTACATACCATAACTTTATCTGCTTTACCAGTCTGTGACCTGTCTCCATTAAATGGCAACAGTACCACCTACTGTACTCATAACAAGTCAACAACAAGACTTCACAAAGAAAAATTCTCAAATCTGTTTAATACCAATGTCACGAGCAGGACAAAATCCTTAATAGAGCTGTGTGCAATGCTACAATATTACCTTTCTGAAACATCATTTAGAGTCCTTATGTTTCATTTAAAAAACAAAAAGCATGTAATGAGACAGAACTAAAAGTACAATGTTGAAATAGAATCATTAGTATTTTCCATGGAATTCAAACAGTAAAAACTACCCCTTAAGCAACAAATTCACTGTTTATCATATTAAAAATATTACTTCATTTAAAGCTGTGTGGGGCTACATTGCACCATTTATATGTCTCACTGTCTTGTCACAAAGTGGCATAATTGTTCTACATCAAATATTGTACGACATAGAACCTACATGTTGACATCTTTTTAAAACCTGTTAATTGTTTTGTTAAACTGGATGTTAACAGCACCACAACTTAAAAAATAAAATTCTTTTGCATTTTGACTATTGTGACTTACTTTATTTAATTTGCCACTATATTTAGATATAGGTCGCTCACCTGGAAGACACAACTGTAGTTTTTCCACAACTGTTGTAATATTCCGTTGCTGAACTCTGCATCGGATGATTTCCTCTGTTTGGGCTATCACCTTAGATACGTAAAAAAAAAAAAAAAAAACCCAAAAAAACCCCACAATTAAATTATTCAAATAAATATAATTTGCTACAAATATTCATAATGTCCATATAGGAAGCACCATTTTCTCACCTCTTTCCCAGCATCCTGAAGCCTTCGGTTGGTATCAGTAACTTGGACCTTAAAAATAATTTCACCTTTGTTAGACAAATATGCATATATTGCCCTGATGTGACTGCTCACCCTTGTAATCAGATCATGCTTCATGAGAAACTTAGAACAAAGAAATGCAAATTCAAATTAACTCTACAGCTTGAACTTGAACTTTTGATCGCAAAGGGCTTTTGTTAACTTCAATTACTTATGACAGTTCTTTCTAACAGATTCTGTGGCAAACTTCTCAAATTTACTTGGGATTTTTGAACTTTCCTTGTTTCTGTAGGTCTGTCAAACAATTCAAATCATTGACCCAATTGACCACTGGTCCCTTTTTGATAACCTCAATGAGCTCTATGGGCCATTCATTGTCTGTAAGAAATGGTGATTGCATTTTATGGTAATTAAACATTCATACTTTACTGAATGCAAACACTGGGTGGTTGATTAACATCAAACGTGGAAATCTCCAAACCACAGCAACATTTTAATGCTGCAGGTGCAGGCAAAGCTCGACCTCAGATTTTCCCACATAGTAAGTGACTCATTAGGTCATCATAATAAGGAAGCACATTCTAGTTTATTAAAATTCTCATTAATTTCTGAACAAAGATGCTCAATGACCTCATTGACGCTGTATTTGGTCTCTTGTTATCTGAATATCCTTTATATAATGCTCTTCTAATCATAACCTCTGATGAACTATGCTCATTCTGTCTGGTGTGCATATTTTATTCTCAAAAGTGTAAAGAGAGCTAAAAGGGACGGATCTCATAATTCACTGCTCTGTGTTCTGATTTGGGAGTAAATATTAGTTCTCATTTCTAATGAAAACTACTAACTCCACCTACTCTCCTACTCATTACAGAGAAAAGAAAATCTATTTTTCATGCATAATTGCAGTATTTTTATTTTTCTAATCAAGTTTTTCAATTTTTCTAAGGTCTGACATATAAACACGTGATTAGAAAAAGACCTCCGTAAGAAATACTGGTTTTACTATTTGTTGTTCTTTATCTTCTGAAAAAGCCTTTAAAAAGAGCAAAATAATTTTGGTAACATTTTCTGAATACATACATTAAAAAAAAAAATCAGAATCAGACCTAATAAAATATTCAGCTTTGTAAATGTAAATTACTGGATCAGGCAACACAGCTCTAATCACAAATCCTAAATAATCACTTCTAAAAAATTGTTGCAAACATCAGAGTGTATGTGATAATCACTAAATTATTTTTCTTCAGTAAAAGAGTCAAATTCCTTCTTTTAAATTCAAAGACAATGATATATGAAACTCTGAAAAACTAGTTCCTTACCTTTAATTTTTCTGCATCAGCCCTAACTTTAAGAAGTTCTGTAATAGCATCCACAAAGCCCTGATGGTGAAAATTGCACATCTTTTCTATTTCCCTGTCATGGTTACGTATGCAGGCATCTAGTTTTTCCATAAACCTCTGATGTGCATTTGGTTGGTCATCATATACAGACCTGTTAAATACAAATAAGAAAAAAGTTTACTTTCCCCCAGTTAAAAATAGTATGCAAGGATCTTTATTGAAATCTCTCAAAAGGAAAATAAAAGCACGCAAACTTGATGTTACGGTGGCATCATTTGTGATCCACTCCACCAAAATCAGCATTAAAAGAAAGAGATGGCACAAAACGGAGAACTGAACCCAGCCCTTATGGCATTAATCCAGGTGCTTAACCAGTTACATCATGGTTGACCTGAGCCTCACTGGTCTGTTACTTATGCCCTAATGCTCAAATACGGGTACAAAAGAATCAGTTTCTCCAACCACCTCAAATAGCATGGATCGCATTTCCATCAAATTCCACTCTTTGCTAAATATAAAGAAGTGCAAACATACAAATTTGCTTTTCTGGTATTCCTAACATCAGAGTTATCCAACTAAATCAGGGTTGGATGCTTCCAGCCAGAACAACCAGAGCACTCTGCAGCAGCAGCCGGACCCCTGGCGGAAGGCAATCCCCACTGCTCCCTGCCTTCTCTTACCCATGCTCAACGTCTCCTAAAGCAAAACTATGACATGCACAGGCATGAGGCTGCTACCTCAATGGCATCTAACTTTCAGGAATGGCTAAAATCAGGTCTTTTAGTTTCTTTTACTCATAGTTTGAATAGTACACTTATAAACCTCAAGCAGGAAACAGGACTCCAGAAGTTACCGGCGCAGTTTGTTGAGCTGCATCAGAAATAGAACACTGCATGGAAAACTGCTCAAGCATCAGAGATGGGGGCAGTTTAAAGCTTTAGACTTTAGCAGAGGAAGCAAGAAAAGAGATATTACACAGAACTGTACTGGAAATCAAAGTTAGGAAGTCTCTCAAGAAAGGTAAGGCAAAGGCAGTTCTAAAATTTGATTAATAATTTGATATAGCAACAACAGCAAAGACAGGTAATTTTTGAAGCAGCTTTTCAGATAGAATGAGGGGCAATATGAGGATGATACAGTCATACATATACAAACATGTTTGTACTGCAAACTACAAGCATTCAAAAAAATCAGGAAATCAAAAATCTTTACAGTGCTTTTTTTAGTCCCTAATTTCCTTTCATAATGACGAAGTTTTCTCCAGAAATCCATAAAGAGAAACTGCTTTAAAAAAATAATAATAAAAAAAAATCTTAAGATTGGGGAAAAAAAAAGCTGAAGGTCCAATGGTCTCAATGCTGCTTGGTAAGCAGCTTAAGTTCAAGACCGAGGCAACAGTTGAGTCAAAGCCTCTAAAACTCTTGAGTAGAGAGAAAGTACTTCCCTCCCAGTCTTCTCAGAGAAGCATGATTTCCCGTATTCGTCCAGATCCTCTGTTCTAACCAGACAGCTGGGCTCTGCCAGGATCTCGGGTCATCATCACCCGTTCAACAAACCTATAGCTGAGCGTCTGACAAGAACTTGACCTTGAAAAGACTCTTGCAACTAGATTCTTCATCCTTTTTGAGTTCCTTTTGAATTTGGACAATATACTCAGAGAAGCCAATGAAGTTAGAGAAATGAGAAAGGTAATAAGCTGTTCTACATGCCAAAGGAAGAAAGCCAATTCCTGATAGCCTGCTTGCTATAGATACTTTCTCAGGAAAAAAAATCTATTCAATAAAATATTCCTTGAATATACCCCTTTTTCAGTTCAACAACTGATGTTGTAGTACTCCAAAATACACAGTACAAGCTGGTTACATGAGTGCTGCTCTGTCTCTATAAGAAGAGGGTCAGAGATGTTGGAACCTACAGGGTGGACATAGAGGGACATCCACCTGTCTCCAGAGTACCGTTCCTGGAGAAGAAATAAAAAGATTAGGAGGACAAGAGGCATCAGATAGTGCCTTCACAGATATCGGACACGCATGAGCTTCCTCTGAATGGGCTGGACTCACTGCTAAAGCAAAAACCAGAAAAACAGTTCAATTTATTACTGCTTCCTTGAGCCTTTTATTTAAGGATGGAAGGAGTCTCCAAGTTTAGGTCTCCTTTCAATGTTCTCAAAGGCAAGTGAGAAAGCAGTATCATTATCACAAAGATAGGAAACTTCCATCTGTTGTTGTGTACTCATAATGGTAAGTTGCATAACATAACCATAAGTGAAAACAGCAGTAAAACACAGATGACCAAATATATCTAAAATGATAACAAGACTGTAAAAAGACGGTGCAAGAGGAACTCCATGCTTGAGTCTGCACCACAAACTGTCTTTGGTGGTAGCAATGCACTGTCTTTTTGGACTTAGTTATTGCCTGATGATTTTGAGGTATTCAGTAGCTGCAGGTTGGCATGGCTGTCTTTCTATGGATTTCAGATCTGCCAATGCTGGCAGACATGCTGTTAAAATACTAAGAGAGGAAAATAATTTGTGATCAGGTGTCAAACAATTCCAGACAACATAGCCAGAAATTCTGGAAGCACATACGATGTAGCATAGGCAATGCAGTATTCACTGTTATAAAAATCAGTATTCATTATTTTTTCTCAATATTAAAGCTACTTATACTTCAGCTTAATGATGATAAATAAAGTACTGATTGATAATTCTCAGGGGTATTATCACAATATTTAGTTCAAAATCATACAGGGAATAAATGTTTAAAATTGGGGGTGGGGGGAGAAATCAATACTGTGTACATCCTGACACACTGCCTTAACCACAAGATTACCTAACCTTATTAAAATAATAGTTACTATTTTATATTCTACATTGTACTGTCTTCTGCACAGACATTAATAAAATGGTGATTTGTGATCTAAAACAGTATTTTGACAGAGCTCCTTAAGATTCACTAGTAGTATAAATTCCATACTAATTACATATGTAGACAGCTCCATCTTGTGGAAACAATAACAAATTAATCCTCTTCAGCATACTAGTGAAAAAAACTCCCGAGACAGAACTGCTTACTTTTAAAGAAATAAATCAGCACACTATTTAAAATAAATTCACACTTTGTATCACAACTCTCTGATCTAGGCGAGAAGTAAGAAGATGAATTATGTTTACTAACTTCCTTAAGACACTGTACTCTTAGAACACTATACACGTGCTATTTCAGAGGCTTCAGAAGGAAGTCGACCTAAAGATCTGGCCTTTTTGAAAGTTAAGTGCACTCGAGAGAGACATGCCACCTCTGGCCATGGACAGAAATCAGGCTTTTTCTCAAAACCGCAAACACAACTGAGGCAATGCATGCCTGATTTAACCATTATGGAACATCACACATAGTACAGTATGGTTTATTTCTGATACTGAAGCTTATTTTCCATACATACAATTAAAAAAAACTACCTACACTTATCTAAATAAAGTAATTGCTACCTTTGAATAGTCATCTGAAGGTGTCTATTTCAAGAGATTACAGCACTGCAAGCAATCCTGATAGCAACTCTGCACTTTTCAGAGCTAAACCATCAGGCAGACAAATCATATCGCAACATCCTGGAGAGAGACACAGAATCCTGAAAGCATCCAATAGCTAATTCTTTTAAATTACAAGACAAAATTAACAAAATTTACAACACACACACACACAGTTCTGTGGGGAAGAGACTGAGGAAGTGGTAACCCTTCCAGATGCATTTCTTCAGGAGATGACTATTACATGGAATTACACCTACCCTAAAAATCTCTCTCTTACTTTAAGTTGCTTCATATACATCAGTGTGACGTGTCATAAAAAGGGGCAAACATGTAGGATATGAAGAGAAATTTGACATGTGTAATATATAGTTCTTTCAATTTTTGTTTACATTTATACAGCTCTGAATGAGGAACCCCAAGGATCCTCTTCAGCTTTATGGGCCCCTGAAGTGGATGCTGGTGGTATGAAATACAGCACAAAGCTGAACTGAGCCAAACTGAAAGACATGATCAGTTTGTATTACAACTGCTTTCAACCTGTGATCTATACAGCTGGAGGAACCTATAGACTACTAGTGGTTGATTCACACCATGAAACTCTGAAAAGCAAGCTTTTTCTCAGTATAAGTCTTCACACTGGGAAAAAAAAAAAAGAAAATCACTGATGTTGGAGACAAAAGTTTGTACTTGATTTTGGAAAAAAAAAAATACACAATGTACCATCTTAATTTTCAATCTGGAATGGGAGAACATTAACTTGAGTGACTAGTTAGACATCAGTACTGCGAATCAGTGATGGGGCAAGTACTATTTTCATTCCTAATTGATGGAACAAGCAGGGCACCCATGAAGAGCACAAGCAGAGCTGAAGGATTTTTCTGGTAATGTGTAGTTTTAGGTTATTTATCTGTATTTCCCAGAACTCTGTATACAGAAAGAAACTTTCTTTTCTGACTCATCCCAACAACTGGACAATATGAGTCATATTAATGCCAGTCTAGGTAAATACAAGATAATGCAGAAAGTACTTGAAAGAGGAAAAAAAAAAAAACCCAACAAACTAGGAATAGTCAGACAGCTTAACCTAAAGGAGAAAGATGTCTCAGCCACTGGCTCAATTTTATTGCAATAGGAGTATTTTTACCTTGATCTTTCCTTACCAGCTGGGCTGAAGGGAGAAAGACAAGCATAAACAGATTTGAATTCAGGTCTCAATAAAAAATGAAGGAGCATTTTCAGATATGCAACCATTTTCCAATTGAAGAAAATCAAACAAGGTTACTTTGTACCATAAAAAAACCTCACTAAAATTTTTGTTTTCAAAACTAAAACACGGTATGAAAAATATGTATTTAATAGGTGTTATTGACTTTTTTTTGTGTGTTTACATGCAAAAAATCTGTTGAAGCACCAGAGGGCACCATTCTATGCACAAAAATACAAGCCATTGAGTAAGCAAAAAGGCTAATCTCCAGCGAGCTAAAATTCAGCCAAGAATCATAAAACCCCACCTGCTATGAATTCCACCTGACCCTTCACAAAAATAATAACAATTTAAAAAAATCAATTACCTTCAAATCATCTGACCCATTCTATAAAGACAACTCCATACATA